TATAAGTACCCAGCCCTCCCCCATCCGCTGTGTTTTGTTGTTCTTGCGAGGAAGTCCCGACCGGCGGCCCTGCGTACCTCCCCATATACGTTCGGCGCTCTCATTAATATTTTCTCCCCTCCAACGACGTCACGCCCCACTTTGCAGCCTCCAAGGCCTCGCTTGTCACTTTTTTTTCTTTTCGCTCTACTCTCACGCTCTCTTCCTTCATCGGACGCCTCAGACGCCCGCGCCTCATCGCCCGCATCTGCAAGACCCGTTCTTTGAACAGCCTCTCCCTAATCCTAGCGAGATTTGGAGCAGAAGAAGAAAGAAGCAAGCCTGCTCTATATTTTTTTTTTTACTAGGTCGCTCGGCGTCGACGTCCCTGCGATCAGGCAATAACAGAACTGGAACACGTTCCTTACGCCGTCGCTCCCTCTTTTTATTAATTCACGGGTGCAATCGATCTCACCGACGAAGACTTCTCAAGCGATACAAAGTACTGCCCGTTGTCGTCGCCCATCGAGTCGTTTGCCTCGTTCTGTAGAACGCAATTTAAAAAAGAAATAACCCTCAAAAAATTGCTTTGAAGTGAAGACAAAGACCTTTCGAGTCTTTGCCCCGTTGGACGAACGCTTTTTATAGAGACTCGACCTCCATTCTCTCACCATATTCTACCCATCTTGCGGCTTGCATCCAGCATTCGCAAGAACTCCAATAGCTGCTTGAGCAGTATCCTGTAGGGGAGACATTCACTTGTTCATCTCCCGCATTAGGTAGGTGGCAACTTTTCAGTCTTCCCTCACTCTCCATTCACCGCATTGCGCTGCTGTGGCAAACACACGTGTTGCCAACTGGCAGTGCCGCAGCCACATCATAACAAAAGCCCGATTTCTTTTCTGCCCATTCAACTTCCTCTTTTCATCTCGCATTCTGCCTGTACAGCACAATAATTTGCTATTGTGCCAATCAGCAGTTTCAACACCCTTGCTTTTCACTCTTATTTATCCGTTGGATTACCTCGATGCATCCTCAGCCATCAGGATATGCAAGCGGCTAACCTTAAATTTTTATCTCCGATCAGATCTGCTCAGTGCCAAGGTTGCGACCTCGCCGCAGACTCCGATTATCTGATCTACAGTCCCGATCATGGAGGGCATTCAAACGCATCCGGCCAACGCCGCTCAGGCTAAGGCCTTCACCGCGCCTGGCTCGCTATCGTTTCCCGGCGCATCAAACGAGCTTACGCCTCCCTTAGCAAACGGCGATGGCAGCCAGCGAATGGCTCCCAACGGTCAACAGGCTGCGAATGGGAACGGGGTGACTCCTGCAACTCCTGCCGCGACGCCTGCAGCCTCTCAAGGCCCCAGTGGCATTACGCCCACTCTGCAGTATGTATCTTCTTGAGTACCTTTGGCTGTGCTCTTTGAGACTTATCTCCCAATCAAAGGAACATCGTGGCCACTGTCAACCTCGACTGTCGATTGGACCTGAAGACGATTGCTCTGCACGCAAGAAACGCTGAATACAATCCAAAGGTGAATACTTGAATGGCAACTCAGCGGGGAGGGGATTTGTTACTGGTCATGCATCAGTGCTAACAAACACCGTGCAGCGTTTTGCCGCCGTCATCATGCGTATTCGTGAGCCCAAGACAACTGCCCTCATCTTTGCATCCGGCAAGATGGTTGTTACTGGCGCCAAGTCTGAAGACGATTCCAAGCTGGCCTCTCGCAAATATGCCCGTATCATCCAGAAGCTCGGCTTCAACGCCAAGTTTACGGATTTCAAGATCCAAAACATTGTCGGCTCCTGTGACATCAAGTTCCCTATCCGTCTCGAAGGTCTTGCTTCTCGTCACCACAACTTTAGCTCCTACGAGCCTGAGTTGTTCCCTGGTCTGATTTATCGCATGATCAAGCCCAAGATTGTGCTGCTCATTTTCGTATCTGGCAAGATTGTCTTGACGGGTGCCAAAGTGAGAGAAGAGATTTATCAGGCTTTTGAGATGATCTACCCTGTGCTTCAAGGTTTGTTTGCGCCACAGCACCAATACATTGACATCACGATTGCTAACTCATACAATCAGATTTCCGGAAAGTCTAAATGCACTGACGGGTATGGTCAAGAGATTTTACGTCTCGTGTACCACTACTTTACCTAATTACCTTTGAAAAAAAACAACAACCGACGTATATGACTAGGCCTTTTTACAAGGTCATGATACCACGACTACTACATAGGACGTCGTTTCCCCCTTAGGGCTTGGTAGGACACGGCCAAGTTCCTCAGCGGGGTGCCCGCTTGTACCATTTGATTTCTGCTTGCATTGCAATGGCGTTGGCAAAGGGGTGGAAGGCCAGGAAGAGGTTTTTTTTGCGGTTTTTTTTTTACTGTTCTTTACGATGGATCTGGTTCACGGCAAAAAGAACAAAGACTACCCATCCCGCGACACAAACATAGATTGCTCGTGGCTCGTTTCCAGACTGCTATGTCAGTCTCTTACGGCCTTTTTTAATGCTTTCCAAGGGGAAACAAGTCAAGTTGAAAGTGGATCGAAACAACGTTGTTGGTCAGTTGGAGCAGCCAAAAGATGGTGGTCGATTGGTTGGCTGGCGATGAAATGAACAGTTTTCCATTACTGCGTAGTGGGGACTGAACAAGTTATGAGGACATCTTACGCCCTTTGAGGGACGAGATATGGTTAGCACATGCGCCTTTTGGCCTTATCATAGGGCGTAGCTGTTACAAAAGCCCATGGTCTTTTGCAGTTAGCATTATCAGAAGAATGCCTGATTCTGTCCTCTAATAATGGGCTGTGGCCTGATCTCACCTACATTTGCGTGTCGATGTGATTCCATGTAGTTCTCTCCTTTGGCATTTTTTGTGGGTAATCGACGTGCGTTTTGGTGCAAGCAATTGTTGCATGTACTACTCCGTAGTCAGTTGCTAGTCTTGGTAAGCCCTTCCCGATCGTCGGATGTCTCCACGGTTGAGCCCCTCCTTAGACAAGCAACGACAAGGCAGCCGATTGTATGCGTGACTGTGAATAAATAAGAGGCGGAAGGGCTGAGCTTTCGCAGACAAAAGACACCCATATTCCAACCGCTCGACTTTCAAATGGCAAATATGGAAACCCCTCCTCGATCCATCCTCATCGTCGGTTCTGGTGTGTATGCTCTGTCCACGGCCTGGGCGCTCACCAAGAGGCCGTCCTATGGCAAGACTTCCATTACCATTGTGGACGACGTGCGTGGAGGGACGTTTCCACCGGGAGATGCCGCTAGTGTAGACTCATCGAGAATCATCAGAGCCGATTATGCAGACCAAGACTATGCTGAGTTGGCAGCTCTCGCACAAGAGGAGTGGCGTAAACAGGGCGATGATGAACTCGGCGGCCAGGGACGATATACCGAGTCGGGATTGTTCCTGGCAGCGAATGAGTCGACGGAGCCAAAGATGTCGGGCATGGGATACACCAAGTCCAGCTGGGAAAACGCAATGAATATTGCGAAGAAGAGCGGGCTGGCCCACAAAGTTCGACACATGGAGAGTGCCAAAGCGCTGCAGGACTTCCTGAGCGTTGAAGGGCATCCTGGTGATTGGGGCTATGTGAATGAGCTTTCCGGATGGGCGAATGCAGGCGAAGGAATGAGATGGATGTATGGCCGGGTCAAGGCCACCGGTAGAGTGAGCTTTGTGGATGGACGAGTAGAGGAGCTCGTCACCGAGGGCAAGAGAGTTGTTGGCGCACGACTGAGCGACTCCCAGGTCCTGACGGCGGAAGTTGTCTTTGTTGCTGCTGGTGCGTGGACTGGCAGCCTGATCGACCTGCGAGGACGTGTCGAGGCCACGGCCCAGCCCTTGGGCTACATTGATGTCTCACAGGAGGAATTCGAGGTGTTGGCTAAGCAGCCTGTGGCGCTGAATCTGAGCACCGGCTTCTTCATCATTCCACCGCAGACTCGCGTTTTGAAAGTTGCGAGACATTCGTTTGGATACCTCAATCCGGTGCTAGTCGAGAGGGCGCTACCCCTTTCGCCCTCGGAAGAGCGCAAGCCAATCGTCGTGTCGAGACCACTGACACAGCGTGATGGCGAAAGCAGCAGCAGTAGCACCGCCAATGTGCTGCCACCGGATGCGGATCAGGCGCTGCGCCAGGCCCTAAAAGACCTGTCGCCCATCAAAGGCCTCGAGGACCGGCCGTGGAAGGAAACGAGACTGTGCTGGTACGCGGACACGAGCGACGGCGACTTCCTCGCGGACTGGCATCCGGGCTGGGAAGGGCTGTTCGTGGCGACGGGCGACAGCGGACACGGATACAAGTTTCTGCCCGTGCTGGGCGAGAAGCTGCTGGACTGCATGGCAGGGAATGGCGGCAAGCTTGGCGAGAAGTGGAAGTGGAAGAGGGAGGCAGCAGAGGACGCGGGCAGAGAGATTGACGGGAGGTTCAAGGGGCTGGTGACGATGGACGGGAGCAGGGGCGGGAGTCCAGGGTTGATATTGCGAGAGGAACTGAGTAAGGCGAGATGAGCCGCCGGCCATGTGATGTGACGACATCCGGCATGTCCGGGGCTGTGTTGTTAGTAATGAGGTGGTTTGTGGTAGGAGTAAACATATATAGGGTAGGTAGAGTGTAGAGGAGTGGTTTAGTAAACATGATTGTTGCTGTGCTGAAGACGAAATTATTGTGGTTTTTGTCAATTATGGCGTCTGGGTGTGTAATTCACGAGCCTGCTCTTCCCAGATTGGCCGAGTGTAGATTATGCTAGTACCGGGGCTTAGATTTGAGTGCCATTGGGTGCTTGGACTTATCGATAGCCCGATATGGCACTCGCCCCATAGACCAAGATACGTACCTACCTGCACTGCACGACTTTGATGCTACGCATTAGTAGTAGTAGTTGGTTGCTACCGTTCAGCTGCCTCGCACGGCTGAGCCAGGCTTCTATTCAACCGTGATACCTTCTATCATGGGCCAAGATTCGTCTCCGAAATCCTCGTAATATCGACGCGCGATGTCGTCCTCTAGGAATACCGGCGACGCCCCTCGAATGGAGTCCAAATTCCAAAAAACCACCAAGCCTTCCGTGTTCGAGAAGCAAAAGGCCGAAGCCGAAGCCAAGCGCAAGCGAGAAGCTGCAGAGACCGCGGCCGTCTACGAAGATTTCATCAAGAGCTTTGATCATGATGGCGACGAAGATGCGGAACGCAATGCCGCGTCGCAGCAGAACAACCGCCGACCTGGATTTGGCACTCTTGGTGGTCCGCCGCCGCCGCCCTCTGGGCCCGGAGGAGCTTCGCGACGGCACTTTGGCACATCGTCAGGGATGAAGAGCGGGCCGGGGAGCTTGGGGATGCCACCCATGCCGTTTGCAAAGAAGCGCTCGTTCAAGGATTTCTCCAAAGAGCCGGAGGGCAGGGCGACGCTGAAGTTTGAGGATCAGAGTGACGATGAGGAGATGGTTGACCGCGCGGAGGAGAAGGCCATAGCTAGGCCGACTCTACGGCTGTCGAATCTTCCTCCGGGGATATCCCCTGCAACGATTAAATCACTGCTCCCTACCAAACTGACGGTCGAGAATGTTAAGATACAGCCTCCAGCAGGCCCGGGAGGAACCGAGAGAAAATGCACAGTTGCCATTGTGACGCTGTCCAAAGAGACGCCCGCAACTGATATGGATGCTGCAGTAAGCGCGCTGCAGAATCGGTACATGGGATACGGTTACTATCTGTCCCTCCACCGTCATCTTTCCTCAGCTGTCAGCAACTCTGCATTGTCGGGCTTGGCTTCTTCTACTTCGGCATCTCAGCCTTTTGGAGCCAAGCCGGTGGAACAAGAGTCCGCGGGTGGGCATGGCGATCACTCGCGCCATGGATTCCAAAGAGGATTTGCTCCGCCAACTTCATACTCCCATGGACCTGGATCTGTAAACCGGTCTTCGCTATTACATGTGCCAGTCAAGCCACCTTCAGATATTCGAATGATACGATTGATCAACAAGGTCATTGAAGGTGTCCTTGAGCACGGCCCTGATTTTGAAGCCTTACTTATGTCACGCGCCTCAGTTCAAAGAGAAGAAAAATGGGCCTGGATATGGGACGCGAGGAGTCAAGGCGGTGTTTGGTATCGATGGATGCTTTGGGGAGTGGTTACTGGATCACATTTACAGCAGAAGAAAAAAGGCAGATTCATCCCGCTCTTTGAAGGAGGTCATGCGTGGAAAACCCCTGAAATAGGCCTTCGTTTCGAGTACACCACCAAGCTGGATGAGTTCGTCTCAGAATCGGAGTATGATTCTTCAGAGGATGAAGACTTTGATGGAGATGCGAATCGAGAGGGTGGTCCAACTGGTGACGAGGGCAAGGCGTTTCTTAACCCGTTGGAAAAGGCCAAACTGGTACATCTTCTCTCTCGCCTGCCTACTTCCATTGGCAAAGTGCGCAAGGGGGATATCGCGCGGGTAACGGCCTTTGCCATTACGCACGTTAGTCGTGGTGCTGACGAAGTAGTGGACTTGATAGTCTCCAATGTTGAGCAGCCTCTAGCTTTGACCATGACCAACGCCGAGAAGGGCAAGGATGGTAAGGGAGAGCAACAAGCAACAGGAGCAGAAGAAAGCACGGCAAATGAAAACACAGATGCAAGCGCCGCTACTTTGGTTGGCTTATACGTCATCAGCGATATCTTGTCATCGTCCTCTACGAGCAGCGTCCGACACGCGTGGCGTTACCGGCAACTCCTCGAGACGGCTCTGCGCAGCAGAAAGGTTTTTGAACGCCTAGGACTGATGGCGGAAAAGCAGGGCTGGGGTCGAATGCGTGCAGAAAAGTGGAAGCGAAGCGTTACCCTTGTTCTCAACCTTTGGGAAGGGTGGTGTGTCTTTCCGGTAGAGAGCCATGCAATGTTTGTAAGCGCATTTGAGAACCCACCATCTCTGAAAACACAAGACAAGCTGGATGAATCTGCCAAAAAGGGCAAATGGAAGGCCGTCGAAGTCCACTCTATAACTGCAACGTCCGAGGCTGCTGCTGTTGCTGCTGCTGATACCTCGGTCAAAGAGGACGATGCCGTTGGAGAACCGATACAGGAAGAGGAAGAAGCAACGGGAGAGCCTATAGAAGAAGACGATCTCGACGGCGAGCCCCTCGCAGAGGACGATCTGGATGGAGAGCCAATTGACGATGATGACCATGTAGATGGCGAACCCATGGACGAGGACGAGGATGAAGATGAGATTAAGGGTGGCGATTCTGGGCAACAAGGGACCGACGATGCTAATATTACGAATACAACAAACGACACAGAAACGCATCCAGCGGGCCGTGGCCAGCCTAAGAAACGAATGCGAGCAGCTGATATGTTTGCCGATTCTGACCACTCAGATGGGTATTAGTTTGGGGCTGCCGGGCGGCAGCATTTGCTTTAATTTTTGGGATGGCGTGGAGTCCAAATTCTAGATATACAACCTAATACAATTACATAGTATGGAGTGCTTGCATAAAACAGAGTAATGAAGTAATAAGATATAAAACATTTTTTAAACAAGCTCCAGAAGAGAGCAGGACATGATACGGCATTAGCGGAGTTATGAAGAGCTGCAGCCCCTCACGCCTGTGTTTATCATGACTGATAGCTTCATGTTGTCTTTTTTCCTTTGCCTTGCAGAACGGATAGCCTATTCAGCGCTTCTTTTGTTGATCGATACCCGCTCTCTGCCTTATACTAGAGCTCATTAGGAATGGATGCGTTGAAGCTCTGTCCTGGAACTACGGAGTCAGTAGGCGAATACCCACGGAATAAAGCTGGGATCATGAAAATAGCCGTCGCGATTCAGCATTAGTAATAACGATAAAAGGGCACAGGGCAGAGAACGATCTTGTCCCCGACGGGGAGCGGCGCGCGCGCCTACATGAGCGAGAAGAAAGAAGGCACATGGAGACGTTGAGCAATAAAGTGCCGAGTGGTGGCATTACTAGATATAGATAGTAGACCAAAAGACCGGCCCTTTTGACAGCAGGGCGGGCTGGCCAGACAGCCAATAGAAACTTGCTCATCAAGGTGCGGGACGGGCGAACGTTATGGCATGGCATGGATCAGAAAAGTTGGAAAAAAATAGAAAAGTGTCTGTGTGGTGGTGAGATTGTCGTCCCCCGTCCGAGCTTTACTTTAACTGGGCAATACGGGCTGAGGCAAGATGCGAGCGATTCAGTTCACTGGGACTCTGATCCTGTTTTATAAGGCTGTCCTGCATGCATGTTTGACACCAGACCCCTTCCTTCCGGGCTTTTTAGAGCAAAAACAATTTAGAGTCGCACGGCTCCGAAGTGTTTATTTTCGGGGCTCGGAAGCGGGATTGGATGGGGCTGGTGTCGGCGACGACGGGAGTGTCTTGCGTGGTATTTTGGATTTTTGGGGCCGAGGATGGTAGGCGAGTGGTTCCTTTCTTGTTTCTTTTTGCTTGTTTGGGTACATAGATAGAGAGTGAGTGTTGAGTGAGTGTGTCGAGTGAGTGAGAGAAATTGTTGGCTGCGGGATGTTACCTCGGATGACATGCAATTTGCATGTAGTACAAAGGTACTGCACTGCATTTGCTTTTTTGGTCGTGTTGATTGATTGCGCCATCCGGAAAGGCCTGGGGCCGGTGATGGCATTGACTGATTAATAACATGAAGGGCTGGGCGTACCGCTAATAAGATGCAAAGCTGCAAGCTGCAAAGCTGGACACCTATTTCCTTTTGCTCTTGGCGTTCTGGCATAACTAGTGTGTTGCTCCTAGTTTACTCATTCAATCCATGCCATTATAAGATCAACGGTAAATAGCTGGGGAGGGGGGCTCAAGATTTGTGCCACAATAAGGCGTGGTGCCATTGTCGGCGGTTACGGCGCGTGGCGTGGATGGCGCTGTGTGAGGTGAAGGTGAGGGTGGCTTGACAATGCCCAGGCTCTGCTGTGTCGATGCCGTACTATACGGTGTAGAGTGTTGAGGGCTTCAAGTCAATGCAAGACGCCGGAAGCAGCCTGTCCACGTTCACTTTGAGCTGATCGTCTGTTCAGTTCAAGACCACCTCGTGGCAGAGGAATGGCCAAATTGTTTCGTTTGATGCTGGAATGTTTCAAACTCCCCTTGCTAGCGCACAGGCTTCTATAAATCGCGGTTGCTAGCGGTGGGTGCTCACTAATGCCGTCCGCTATTAGAGCAGTTGCTGGGCTCCCCTGCCCATGGCTGGACTGCCCCCGCACGCGGCAATGCGAAAATGAAACAAAAGTCACAGGCTCCTAAGCAAGGCCTACAGAAGGACCCGCTAAGCCCTCTGCGCAGCTTTGACGCCGCCGTAAGAAGGGTCTGGTCCTTTTTTTCCCTTCCAAGTCAAGGGATCGACTAACGGGGGGTGGTGACTCTTCAACTTTGCTCTCTACATCCTCTTTTCGAAGTTTGAACGATTGGATCTTCTCCCCCGAAGCCGTCAGAGACAACGGGGTTCAGTCTCATAAGATGAATTGTTAGAAGCGACACTCTCTCTGGAACTAGCTTTGTATTACTACCGACCGGCTTTTGCTCGCTCTTTTGGCGTCCCTTAAATCGCCGACAAAGTGCTGCTTATCTTGCTCCTCCAACCAGTCGTTGGTTGAAGTCGAAAAAATAGGATCCTACTCTTCCGCTTCGCCCTGCATCGAATCTTCCCCCCTTTGGCCCCCGCCAATCGCTTGAACCAACCGCTGGAAAGTGTTTGTCGTATTTCAGTTTCAGCCCTCTCTACCGCGACGTCGAGCTGAAACACCCTCTTGGACGGGCGGAGCAATTAGCCTCCCCCCTCTCTCTCTCGATCTACGACTGTTCCTAATCAATTCGAATTTTTCATGCTGCTTCAATTTTGTTTCTGAGTCTGCGACCTACTCACGGTTTCTCCTTACTGCTGCCAATTATTTCGAAATTGCTTGCTGAAGCGCGCTGTTACAACATCTACAAGATTCTATCCGACGCCGGGTGCGATCGGATACGCCGCTTGTGCTGTGCTTGGCAATTGGCTCACGTATACCCTAATCTGACATCCAATCCTGTTCCTAAACACACAACTTCAACAAACCTTTTAACATGCCTCTAATAAACGGCGTGAAGATGGCCTGGTAAGTGCCCTGCTTTGACTCGACGTCCCATTGACCACGCCTGTCCTTCTTTGTTCGCCGCTGACTGTCATTGTAGCGAGCCGTGCATCCGAGGCCATCGCTCTACTAAATGCACTCACGCCAATGAACGGCTCATGGTCCCCGTGCGTAAGCCGGGACGGCCACTGAGCTCGTGTCCGCATCCCGCCTCAAAGTCATGTACATGTGCTGCCCTCATGGCTGCCATACCGAAGAGTCAAAAGTGTCCCTGCGCGACCGCAGAGGAGGCAGCTGGCCGTAAGGCGGCCGCCGAGACGGCAGACCGGGAGCCGTCGAATGGAATGGTGACGCCCCCGAGCCCGGCACCAAAGGGAACCTCAGCTACACCGGCATACCGCGTACAAAAGGCCAATTCGAAGAATGGACCGGCTAAAAAGCAGATCGACCCCGCCAACCTCGAAAGAATGGACGCCAACCAGCTGAACGTACTTTCTTCCTCAGAACTGAAGTCGCCAATCTCGCCCACCAATGGCAACATGCCCACGACGCCCATCACGGCTTTCCCCAGCTATGGAATGATGGGCTTTATCCCCAACGGCAACGCCTTTGGCCCCAACCCAGCCATGTTTCCGCTCTATCAGCAACTGGCATCGGCAAATCCAGCGACGGGTCCCGCCGCGACCAAACCGATGGCACCCAATGGTCATCCCCTCGTGAATGGACACACTGTCGTCGCAGCTAAGAGCTGCTGCGGCCCTGCGAAACCGACATTGGCGCAGCCAAGTGAACAACATGCGCCTAAAGCGAACGGAATCAATGGCGTTGAAAACCAGCCCAAGAGCTGCTGCTCATCCAAGGCAGAGAAATCAGAGACGAAGCCCCAAGAACGCATGCCTACGTCAGCAATAGCTCCTCAGGCCAACGGCATGGTGATGCCGCAGTTTAATAATGTGCCGATGGGTATGCCAAATGGCCTGTATCCTTACTTTGCTCAACCCGCTATATTCGCTTACCCACCACAATACGGCTCCTATATGCAACCACTTCAGCCAGATCAGTGGAGACAGCTGATGACGGCACTGAGCTATGGACAACAGCAACAGCAACCAACAAACGGACAGCAGAATGCTTCGTACAGCGCACCCGCTCCAGTGCCCGCCGTACCCGCCCCATCGCAGCAGTTCCCGCAGACCAGCAGCTCAGAAGCAGATTCTACATGGACGGCTCACCATTGCAGCTGCGGGGATGGTTGTCAGTGTATTGGCTGTGCCACACACCCGTATAACACAGCAACGCAAAATTACGTTCGATCTGCCTGGAACAGCATGGTGGAGGATTCGCCCAAGCGCCACAGACATTCCGATAGCGTCAGTACCCCTAGTATCAACGGCAGCTACGAGATGCCTACACCCTCGGGCCAATCGCCGATTAGCGGCTCGACACCTGCCATGGCAAAGATGGAAGAGACGGCCTCACCCTCGACGGCACACACACCATCAGATGCCACCTCGACCCTCGGAGAAGAAATGGGTTTGTCGGCAAATGACTTTTTCTTTGTAAGCTATCCGTTTGGCGACATTTGCGAAGGAGAGATGGCAAACTGCCCTTGTGGAGATGGTTGCCAGTGTATTGGCTGTGCCATACACGTTACTGTCCAACACGGCCCTTGAATCTCGAAAAGCTCCCTTGGCAAACGTCTATAATTTAGATTCAAAAACCACAACACCAGCGACGATACCATAACAATCGACGGTGCAAAGAGCGACGATATACGAACTGATGGTACAGGGCAACGGAAACGAACGTTACAAGGAACGATACAATATCGAAAGACGACTGGTTAGGGAAATTATATGAATAAAGAGGCCCTGCTAAGAACTGGAAAGTTCCTCAGACGTATTATAATTTTACTTTTTGCTTATATAGATACCCGGCATGGTGGCAATGGTTCATTGAAGGCAGCCTTTAGAAGCACCTTTAGCGATGTGTGGCGGTCATCGCAGATGGTTGCGCAAACATTTAGTTCGAATCTCTCATCTCTACACAAGCGAGATTACTTCTCACAAAAGTTATTTGCACGATGTCTCTGTTCCCAGCGTGATCTTGAGCATTTGTAGAGAGGCAGTCGATGGACTGTCTCATTTTGCAGGCAAAAGAATTAGACGTCGGAATTGCGGGGCGCACTGTGTCTAGTCTCTAGATCATCGCATACCTGGACCTCACTGTAACTTTCACATCGTCTGTTCATATCTTCGCTGTTAGCTGGGATTGGTATTCAAAAACCAAAAGGCTAATAGCCGTCGAGCCATTCCTTTCTTATTCCTTGTTTGAGAGACGCTACAGGCGTAATCAAAATGCCTCAGCTTTCCAGAGATCCCCAGAGTTCAGCACGCGTCGGACATGATTCGCACGCACGCTCATCTCATCAAGAAGGCAGCTCGCGACGCCGTCGTGACGATAGATCCCTATCGCCAGACCGAAGCGGGCGCAGACGCCCAGAGGATCGCAAGAGGAGAGCGTCACCATCTGGACGGAGAGAGAGGGAGCCCAAAAGACAGCGCTCATCCGAGAGGCATCACCATCACCACCATCATGGCTCATCGTCAAGGCGCGTGGAGAAGCGCGTGGCTGCAGAATTGCCTTATGGGGCGAGACACCTTTCAAAGGATGATTTGAAAGGATTTGAGCCGCTATTTGCTGAGTATTTGGATTTGCAGAAGCAAAAGAATATTGAAGAGATGGATGAGCGGGAGGTAAAGGGGCGGTGGAAGAGCTTTGTGGGTAAATGGAATCGGGGCGAGCTGGCGGAAGGATGGTATGACCCTGAGATGTTTCAGCGTATACTTGAGCGCGGTCCGCCGCCCCCGAGGGAACAGCAACAGCAACAGCAGCAGCAGCAGCAGCAGCAGCAGCAGCATCGTCAACAACAATCAGATTCATCAGAGGAAGAGCCACCTGAAGCAAGGTATCTGGACCGCAATGCTAGCGGGGACGAGAACGAGGATGAAGATATGGATTACGGCCCGGTGCTTCCCGGAGCAGCACCCGGTGATCGTCGAGCCGGCGCCACGATTCCAAACAAGCAGGATCTCGTTCTCCGCGACGAACTTGCCGAGGAATCCCGCGAGGCCGACCGGGACGACCTCCGCGCCGCGCGCAAAGCAGACCGCAAGCTCCAAAAGGAGCGTCTCGAAGAGCTGGTCCCCCGCGCCGAGGCGGGCACTCGCGAGCGCAAGCTGGAGAAGCGCCAGGAGGTCAACGAGAAGATGCGGCAGTTCCGGGACAAGAGCCCGGGAGGGGAGGTGCGCGATAGCGAGTTGATGGGAGGCGGCGACAGCTTGGAGGAGTATAAGCAGGCAAAGGAGAAGGAGCAGAGGCGCAAGTCGGAGAGGGAGATTCGGCGGGAGGAAATTGAGAGGGCGAAGAGGGAGGAGATTGAGGAGAAGAGGAGGGCGTGGCAGGAGAGGGAGGATAAGACGGTGAGTATGCTGAGGGAGTTGGCGAGGCAGAGGTTTGGGGCTTGATGCGTCTTGATGCTGTTATATGGGGACTGGTTGCGATGACTTGCTTGAGTTTTGGCATCGTTTTTACCTCTCCTTTTTTGCATTTACTATCTCATCGAACTTGGACACGGCATTGCAAGGGATATAAAGACATTGGTTAATTAACACGAGCCTCTATGATTTCTTATTTGCGACCTTTTCTCTTTTCTATATCATTGATTGTCCCCTGTGTTGGCTTTAGAGTCCTCGAACCGAGATTTCACACTGTGAGGCCCACTAGCACCGCGAAAAAATTGGAATGATGGGCTTGGATGTAGCAAACCTGGAGATTGATGAGCATCATTCTTAAAGCTGTGGCATTTCAAAAATCGCTACCAGATTTATTCTGAATAGGCTATACGAAGAGTTTTATTGAATATTTGTAAGGAGAGGAACATATTTGATTCCTACCATTACAGCGACAGACTTTGACTGTTCCTGAGAGATTCACCCAAACTCGCTCTCAAATCTTATAACTCCCAGCCGGCATCAAGCTTTTCAATTCAAATCACAGCATGGAAGACGACGATTATGGCACCGGTGGCCTGATGGAGGACCCCGAAGATTTCTACCCCTCAACCCCTCCTCCTACGCAGCAAATCTTCACCCTCGGAAGCGGCAAGCAGGTTGTCCTTAACCTGGTCGGCCACAGCCCTACAGAGGCTCACCATTTATGGAACGGCGCAAAAATCATCGCAGACTACTTTGAGGAGGATCCTTCGCGGGTACGGAACAAGACGGTGCTGGAGCTTGGGGCTGCGTCGGGGCTGCCTTCGCTTGTGGCGGGCATCTACGGCGCCAAGAAGGTTGTCATGACAGATTTCCCTGATCCGGATATTGTCATGAATATGCAGAAGAACATTGATGCGTGTGATGAGACTACTGAGCCGAAGGGCCATATTGCGAAGACTGTTGATGCGGTTGGCTTTGTCTGGGGCGGAGATGCTGTGCCTCTTATCGCTCGTCTAGGAAACGACTCACATCAGGAGGAAGCGCGGTTCGACGTTTTGATTCTCGCTGATTTGCTTTTTCGGCACTCGGAGCATGGTGCTCTGGTCAAGACGATTAAGGAGACGATGAGACATTCGCGGGACAGCGCGGCATATGTCTTCTTCACGTCTTACAGGCCTTGGAAACGGGACTTGGACATGAAGTTTTTTGACGTGGCGCGGGAGGCGGGCTTTGAGGTAGAGCAGGTGCTGGAGAAGAAGCTGGAGAAACCGCTGTTTGAGAATGATCCGGGTGATTTGGATGTGCAAAAGACGGTCAATGGGTTCATTGTGCGGTGGCCGGAGAGTGTTTGATGATTTGATGAAGATTGCATTTTATATATTGGAGAGGGGTTTAAAATAGCGGACTTTGGTTTTTGCTTGTTGAAAGTTGAATGGTATTTGGGGGAATATGGAACCTCTTTTGAAGTTTTTTTTGTTCTTCACGGCTGAGCTGTATTCTTTGATACCGACTTGGTATGAAGTGGTGATATGGCGATACTTGTTGAGCTATACCTGGCGGGATCTGGAACCGCAGATAAAGGAGAAATAAATGAATAGAGAAATAGACTTGTGGCCTAGGAAAGAAAGCTCTGCCTTGTTAGCGAGTAATCATTATTTGTGATCAAGTAAGGCTCTTAACAACAGTTCCATTGATTTGCCTCTAATATTCAGTATGAAAACGTTGGCGCCGCTGTAGACACGGGCGCTTAAGCAAATCCTACCCGACGCTATACTTGAGCTTTCGAATCCTCCGCGAGCCTAAGCCCCGTTAAGCCCATCTCTTCTCCGCAAGCCTTCTGCAGCAGGGAACCAAGCTCGGGATAGCTACATGTAGTAAGGCAGCAAATACTAGGATAAAAGCCAACAGATGAAGGAATTGGGACAATGATGTGACCAATCAGGCTGTATATTGTGACTGGCGTGGTTGGTTAAGACGTCAGTCTTCGCATGTGAATGCATCCACGCAACTATTCCTGCTCCTCGTAACGGTACCTTTTCTTTTCACAAACATACACTTAAATTCATTGGTTAATTCATCAACTCAGTAGATCCCAGCTTCATAACATGGCCAAAGAGCGCTCAATCCTCATCACCGGCTGCTCTGCCCACGGCCTCGGCGCCGTCCTCGCCCTGACTCTCGCCAAACAGGGGCACCACGTCTTTGCGACCGCGCGCGATACGTCCAAGATCCCCTCTGAGCTGAGCAGCTTACCAAACGTCTCGGTGCTGCAGCTTGACGTTTCATCTACAGAGTCCGTGGCGGAGGCCTCAAGGGCGGTTGAAGATGCCGGCCACGGCCTCGATGTGCTGGTGAACAATGCGGGCTTCGGATATACGATGCCGATCCTGGACATTGACATTGATAAGGCGCAGGATTTGTATGATGCGAATGTCTGGGGGACGGTGAGGACTGTGCAGGCGTTTGCGGGACTGTTGGTTAAGAGTAAGGGCCGGGTTGTGAATGTGAGCTCTGTGGGGGCGGTTGTTAATACGCCATGGATCGGTAAGTGGCATTTTTTTTTTATATCCACATACTCTATCACTTCTTGAGATAAGGAAGTAACAAGTCATCGCAGGAACATATGCCTCCTCCAAAGCCGCCGTCAACGCCATCTCCGAAACCCTCCGGCTGGAGCTCTCTCCATTCGGCGTGAGCGTCGTGACCATCATGCTGGGCACCGTCGCCACACCTTTCCACGCCAATGAGCCAACTCCCAAACTCCCTGCTACTTCGTACTATTCTGCCATTCTCGACACCATCACCAAGTGGGCCAAAGGCCAGGCAGGCCCCAAAGGCGGACCAGTGCAAGAGGTTGTCGATGCTATGATCCCGGATATTGTAGCAGAAGGTCGTAATGGTGTGGTATGGAGGGGTGCAAATAGCACTGCTGTCTGGTTTGGATCGCGATGGCTACCGGGGAGGATGCTGGTGAGTTGTACCCTTGACTTTCTAATCGAATAACTGTAGAAGCTAAACATCATTCTTTAGGATGGCGCAATGTCTATGGGCCAAGGATTAGCTGAACTGGCACAGAACTACGCCAAGCCTTGAAGCAGAAACGAAGATATATGATGATATTAAGGAGGTAAGCAGAGCGTAGTCTTGATATGTGTTTAAGCAAACAAGGGCGGGCCATATACAGTTTCCTTTCGCCGTTCATTTGAGAAGATTTCTATTTTGTTATTCATTAATCATATAGCTTACTATGGCCACTATGGCAGCATATTCATACTTTGCTAATACATCTCAATTTTATCGTCAAGCCGGAAGCTTGAAGGCTCCTGTGACACGATGTGTAAACACCCCCTTTGGATCCACCCTCTCACGGACTTTCTTTAACCTCTCTATGCTTTCTTTTCCGTAACTAGCAATCGGATCCTGCCACGGTGCTGCGTAGTTTACATACACAAACGGATCATACTCCCCAAGCTCTTTGGCTTTTGTTTCAATGTCCACAAGCATCTTGCGTGCTGTCTTCTCTACCTTGGTGTCATCCGCCTCGTCTGTCCACATAGCCGTTAATAGAGTAATGACCAGGGGCTTATTCCTATCTGAGAGACCCAGGCTGTTGGTTGTGCCGGATCTCTTATAGAATATTGTTGGTAGAGGCTCGAGGGAGATGGACCATACGATGTTGGCCACATCTTCAACAAGGGAGATGCTTTTCTTCCAGCAAGAGAAGACGGTTTTGAGCACCTCCAGGTTGGAGCCGTGAGTGGTCTGAAGACTGAATTGGCTTTTGATTATAACATATGTCAGTAAGTAGAACTCGACTTATGTAGAGATTTTAATACACAGAGACTGAATATAATCAAAAGCAAATGCTTACCGCAGGCCATATGGACAGTAGACCGCTTGCTCCCTGGAAATCTCTCCCATGCCAGCCAGTCGCATTGTACTCATCACATTGGGGATCTGAAGGAACGGCTCGAAGACGGGCAAACTCTCCGCAGGCTTGGTGTACTCAACGCTATGGACAATACCGGCGCCTCGTCCAGCCGCATAGCCGAAGCTGGTGATGAGACTGGCGTATTCATCATAGTCTTCTGCCGAAGCGAAATCTTGGAATGCCTTGAGGTTTTCATCAATGGTGTCGAGAGTGTGGAAGAGAGACCCGCCCCAGATCTGGCCCTGCTCGAAAGCAGAAAAGTCAAAGCGTGTCACCACGCCAAAGTTGTTACTTCCACCTCTCAGCGCAATGAGAAGGTCTTCGTTCTCTTTCTCGTTGGCATTCACGATGGATCCGTCCGCCAAAACAACTTGGAAGTTGGTGACGGTGTCGCAGGTCCAGCCGAATCGAGGTGAGAAGTAGGATATGCCTCCTCCGAGAGTCAAGCCGCCCACACCTACCGGAGCGGACCGGCAGCCGGCGACGGAGAGGCCGATTGCGTCTAGCTTATCGTAGACTTGTCCCCATTTTGCGCCGGGGCCGATTGATACTGTCTTTCGGTCTTCGCTCACTTCGATGGAGTTCAGGCGGCTCAGATCGATGGTTACGCCGCCGTCAACGTTTGCGGCCCCGGCGTCGACAGCGTGGCCGCCGGAGCGAATAGCGAGCCCGACAGGGTTGCCATCTTGATCTTCAGCTGTGGCCAGAAGGCGGACTGTCTCAGCAACGTCTTCTGCACATGTGGGGGAGATGACGGCTACAGGCCGAAGCTGAGACTGCTGCTGTGCAAAGTACGAAGCATTGGAAGAGGAATAGCCGTCGGATCCTGGATAAAAGACCTTTTCGGGCCCGAGCGTTGACAGCAGCGTCGACAGCAGCGTTTGAATCTGTCGATTATATTCATGCGTTAGGTGTTCTGGTTGCAGTGGACAGTGGGGAAGGGGACATGGTTGCTATAAGGCGCCCACTTACATGTCGAAACTCTGCCATGTTAAGCCTGGTTATTTTACTAAGAGCTTAAAGAAGCAAAGAAAATCTATCAAGTGACGACTTGCAAATCGGGAGTTAGTGGCAACTTCCTAGACTCGTGACGATAGGCCATCCAGCGAAGAAGGATGCGGGCCTGCTACAGTAATAAAGAGAGCCATTCTTGAAACAGGCTACCTGCCGGAAGTTCGGGTGTGGGGAGAAGGAAATATAATTATGTTGGGCGTCTGATACATGCACAAACTGGCTAAAATTTGGAACGATAAGACAATAGCCCATGTTAAGCGAGGTGACGGTGACACATGGGTCGAGGGATGTGGGAACACTCTCAATGAGATGGAACTACCTAGAAGGAACACTTTCCCTGTCTTCGTCTCCTCCGTCTGCGGAGCTTGATATCCGCATCGTAACTATCAGCATTATTTTCTACGGAGAGAGAGGCTCTCTGTTGGCATATATATCTACATGAGATATCTACATGAGAAAGAAAAGAAATCCTGTACTTAGCAAGCTAACAAGTCTAGGAGTTGCGCGCATTTGTTGACGATTTTGCCCCTAGCAAAAGGCGGCCCGATCCATCGTCCCCATTTGCGATCCCCACAATGAGAGAGCTCAAGACCTTTGCGGAATAGTATCGCGCCAGTTCCCGGAAAGGAAAAAAAAAGAATAGACCCAGCAGGTAAACTCCAGTCTATATGTTGCCACAGTAGAGAGATATAAGTAAAAGATTGAAACGTTAATAGAACAAAAAGTAAGAAACAAGAAACAAGAAACAAAGAAAAAGAAAAAAAAAAAACCTCGTTTGTTCGGGTCCCGATCATCAGCCGCCTTGTTGCAATCAAGATTTCCTATCATCCGCATCAATGAAAAGAACTCGGCAACGACGATGACTCAAGTAGCGCATCGACATATGCCTGCATCCGATCTCCCTTTCTTCCCTCTCCCAAGATTTCCACCACGGTCTTCCATAGTAATTCATATCGCTTGACCCCCCTTGGAAGGTCATAATCGCTTAGTAAACGGTCTCCAAAGCATTTTCCGATACGGTCACATATGCTCTGTAGCGCTCTCACTATATCTTGCAAGTCAAGCCATTCCGAGGCACTGTTGCAGCTCACCCAGTCATCCCAGGATGGCGGCGTGTATCCTGCAAGATGTTGGATACATTCCCAGACTTCGTTGTTAAACTGTAGAGTCCGGATTGATTCGATGTGAAGAGACTCGCTCATGGCGGTGAGCTTTACCCAGTGTTCATTCTCGTCGCGGATAGCCGGTTGGAGCAAATTGACCAGCGCTCTGGCAGTCCTTTTGCTGGAAGGCATTGCATTCAATGTATGAAATGCATGATTCCATACGGTGCATTTTAAAGGTGGTCCGGCAGCCAAATCTTCCATGATAAGTTTCGCCAAAGGAGATTCCTTTGCTTCTGGTTCCTCTTCCGTGTCAGCTTTGCACGCCACCGATGCTGCCGCTGAGGAAGATTCATCTGCTTGTGGCTCATCTGCTTGTGGCTCATCTTCCCTGTCAGCTTCGCAAGCTGGCCACATTGCCGCGGAGTGTTCCGATGCAGCGTAACTCCATGCGGAGTTGGCGAGCTCTTCAAGAGACTCTTCGGAAGGAGACCGATCGCTCATTTTGTCTAGAGAGGGAAAGATGTCAATAAAAGTAGAGGAAAAGCAGAAAGAAGCAGAGCCAGGGATTCTTCTTTCAATACCTTCACTGATAGAGTATGTCTTCGGGTTGTGATGAAATCGGCGGAACATTAGCGTTGAAGAACTTTATGATATCAAAACGGGAGCAGCTGGGAGATTGGAAGAAAGCAGAGGAAGAGACGGAGGAGGAAGAAGAAGAAGAAAAGGAGAAAGTAAGTATGAGTTCACGATCAGTGGTGACGTGTACAATCATGGGTTTTGCTCGAGATAGAATTTGCCATGTCAGAGATACAAGCAGCACCTCATAATTTTCTACATCGTTTTGGCCACTATTCGAGGCCCGCAATGGCCTCTCTCTCGTATTTTGCGCCACTGTTCAATTTTCCAAACTATGTTAGAGTGAGTGATTTTCCCAGTGGCTGAATCTAAATACTTGGAAATCGTGATGTTTTTTGCTGCCTCTACTATGGCCTGGTATCCTCTTGAGTCTTGACCTCTAAACTTCTTTTTCATATTATGCCGATAACAAAATACATTACTCTTCACACGTAGGTCTGTAGCAGGACAGTAATTTCTTGCGAGAAGCACTCGCCATAACAGCTCAAAATATCCTGCGCCGCCATCCAAATGGACTATTTGTAGCTTTGCATCGTCGTATTGTGTGGTCATCATCTCTCGCCTACAATATAGCATGAACTCAGTCTATAGTGACTTAACGTATAATTTCGACTTCTTCTTCTCTAGATATAGGTACATGTACATGTACACGCCATCACCTCTACTGGACCACAATTGCACCGTTCCACTCCTTCACAGGAATCCTCCTTAGTAACTCCCGATTCGTGAAACACCTATCCAGGTCTATCTCCGGAATAATCAGCTGCAGGCTTCCAACCCTCTCCCACCGTGCTTCAAACGAATCAGACTCAACCCTCTGCAGCGTTAGGAATCTTGCCCTTCCATGCTCTGCGCGAGGTCTCTGAGCCGTGAAGATGAGCACGCTGACAAGTTCACCGGAGTAATGCTTCTGCGTCCACTCCTCCTCGGTGAGGGAGATGGACATGCTGACAAACGCCAGCCTGCCGGCGATGCGATACCATTTCTTGTCCCACTCCTGTCGTTCGGCTTGGTACCGGCGCTTCTCGCCTGCTCGGCCTGCTAAGCGCCTCCATTCCCAGCTCCCCTTGATTTCGTGTCGGACCGAATACCTCAAAACTAATGGCTTGCGTATCTCCAGCAGCGTAGGTACCTTTTCTTCCAATACATCTGCCGAATAGAGATTGAGTAGTCGCAGACAAACCGGCTCACAAGCGGATCTCAGATATAGATCTGCTGCCCACACCAGATGAACTTGAAGCGGCTCGGCTGTTATCAAATCTCCCATAAAGACGCTGTGCTCGTCTGACGGCGGTGCCCTCCACGACACGGTGCCCTGCCACCCTGCCCACGTCCAGGATGGTAGATGCGTCCTGCGCTCGCAAGGCTCTGCGATAAACATCTGGTGTTCATCGCCGCTGCGGTGATACCATGAGCAGACTGAGAGGGCGAATGTGATGTAAGCACCCGTTAGGTCAACCAGTATATCGTCCATCCACATGGGGATGCCGAGGTATATGTGCAGCCTTTTGTCTCTGAACATGCCGATGATGCCCAGAAAGGCCTTTAGCGAATCTCCGCCATGACTTAGTTTTCGCGCTGAAAAGGCTCGAATGTGGTCGTCCAAAGCTCGCAGTTGGGAATTCATAGATCCTTCATCTTGGGCGGGAAAGCCATACTCTAACCTGTGCTCATCGGTTTGTATAACATCTCTGTAATACTTTTCTGAAAATTCACCACCAGATGACTCGCTTTTGAAGATGCCACCTAGTATGTAGTCCTCCATATGCTGCCCTTGTAGTGTCGGAGGGGAGACTTCTCTCCTGCGCAAGCTGGCAGCATTGTTATTCTCAACAGGATTGTGGTTCTTATGGACCAATTCTAAGGGCATCTGAAGAGACTCTTGTGCTGCCATACATCGGCACTCCCAGTAGGCTTGGTTTTCGGTAAACACCAGGCGCCTGTTTGACAAGACTCCTTCTTGGTATGTCCACCCCCTTGTCCAATACTCGGATGCCAGGATCTCTTGGCGGGGATCTCGAAGCGCAGAAACTAACAAACTGCCGTTCTCTAACAATATCTTTGGCTGTTTCTTTCGAGGCGTTGATCGAACGCCTGGAAGGCCATCACTAGCTCCCGACCCAAACGCCGAAACAATGGTGAGCTCAGCATATTCGTATATCGTAGTCATTCGAGAGATGAGATAGTCTTTCTCTTCCGGATCAGATTGGTTGATGCACAGTCGATCAACCCACAAGTATCGCAACCCTAACCTACGTGACACATCAACGGCGTCAAGGACAGTAGCTGGCCAATCCACCAAATCCTCCTGTCGCTGGCCCCAAACATAACTAAGCGCGGCGTATTCGACTCCCCAAGGTATCGGAACCACGGTCGGAGGGTCTTGTTCACAATCAATCACACGAAATCCCTGTGTGATGGCATCGCCCTTGGTTGGTCGACAGCACGATCTCAAGTGCCACTTTTGGCAGAATGAGAACCATTCCTGTACAACGGCGAAATTGATTTTGTTATCGAGTTGTCTTGCTTCTAGCAGTGGCGGGTTCTCTTCGTGTGCCTTGTCAGGCTGTAAGAGATAGATGGGTCCAACAGCTGGAATATCTTTGTCCAGCCAATGTTCATCATGGCCCGACTGCGGTATTGACGGTATATCCGGCACCACGCTCATCCATACCGTATCCCGGGTATGATGCCAAGCAGGGCTCTTCTTCAGTCCTGATAGGCCAAACATCCAGCTTTCGCTGCTACAAAAGGCAAGGAGTTTGTAATCCTCATGGCGTTTATCCGGTTGTATCCTCATCGACCAGAAGAAGCGGCAAAGAGGGCATGTCGCATCGCTCGATAAGCGCTTTCCGAACGAGTGCGAAAAAAAGGCATCTCCGTAGAATAGAGGACCGCCGGTGCGGCCATGGAATAATTTGGAAGGGCGCTTGACGATGCCTTTCCTGGCTCGTTTGAAGGCATCGGAAGCTTTGACGAAGCTGTTCTTGATGTCGAGAAGCTTGCACTCTTGGCAAAGCGCATTTGCATGTCGACCATTGGCTTTCTGGCGCTTATTTCCGTTTACTGGCTCGGGGCCTTTATCGTCTTCGCGCAGCCTTTTATAGTCCATATTTTATTCTCACTTGTGAATATCTCGTTGGATGCGCTGCAGAAAAAGGAAAAGAGGAAACAGTAGCATTATACATCTATAGCATGAAATCACTGATGGATGCACGAGCATTATATTCCTGCGTTTCTTGTACAGCCTCAGCTGAGATGCCATTGCGATAGTGGTGTGGGAGGCCCGCGACTCGAGAATGGCCTGTGAGGCTTACAAGGCGTTCTTGAGGAAGTGTTGCAGGGGTGTTGGGTCCAGGCAGCGGCCACTATAAAGGCCATTTTGGTTCGCAAAGCTCGAATCAACTCGCAGCAATATTTTCATCATTCAGATAAGAGTTGTTGTTTCTTGTCATCAAGGGGTGGAGCGAGATTGACATTTCCGCCTAGTCTTTGTCTCTATCATGCATCATCATCTTGTATTTTGTAATAGCTTCAGACCCTAACTCAAAGTCCGGGAGATTGCCTCGTACAAATGGAAAATCGCGGGGTAGCTGCGCATATGAGCCATTGTCTTATTAACATACTTGTACTGCTTGATCATGCAGTAACTTGGAGAACAAAGTCATCTTTAACATATTACCATCGGCACCTGGCCTGTTAATATCAGTCCCAATAAATGGCCTTAATCTATCTCTCCAGAGGACCCTGACTCCCAGATTCTATCTAGCGGGCTTTCATCCATCTAGATCTACCAAGCCGGCACTGATTAACCTAAATCACTTTTGGGTTTCAACAAATAAGCAGCTTGTTTTCTTCTCCCCTGGGATATCATCTATCTCCACGCCGTTATATCAACGCCCAAAAAGCCGGTGATTGGCGCGAGTGCTGCCGACGGATAAAGTTGTCCATCGTGGAATAACTGCCTCGCCAATCCTACCCGCTCCAATGACGACATTTGCAGCGGAGCAATTCTATGGAGAAATCCATCGTGCGGAAACATCGCGCCGCGGGGCAGTTGATCTTTGGTGGGGGATTTTTCTGGACATATATTCGGCCTGGGTAAAAGCGCTGCCTAATCTCGAGTTATTGACATGCATGTATTTTAACCTCTCATAAGCATCTTCTCTTGATTGTTTCTTTTGAATAGACAGATACAGATCTAGTTTATTGTATTTATCACCATGGCTCGACCCTATGAAGGCAAACTCGCAATCGTTACCGGTGCTTCACGAGGTTCGTATTTAGCCGCCACTAACATCAGTCACTTTACTAACACGCAACAAAAAGGCATTGGAGCTGGAGTGGCCAAAAGACTTGCTGCCAAGGGCAGCAACGTCCTCGTCACCTTTACTTCAGAATCATCCAAGGATCTGGCGCAAGAGATTGTTGAAGAACTCAAATCAAAGCACAAGGTCCACAGCCAGTCTATCCAGACGGACCTCACCCAAGCAACCAACGCAGCAACCGTCATTCTCGAGGCCGCGAAAAGCCTCTTCCACAGCTACAACCCACAAGGGAAATTCCAAGTCGACATTCTTATCAATAATGCCGGCGTCTCGTCAAACCAGCTCATCAACGACCCGAAAAAGGGCGCCATTACAGAAGCCGAGTTCACGCGAGTCTACGCCGTCAATGTGCTGGCACCGCTCCTCTTGACTCAGACCCTGGCGCCATATCTGCCTACAGACCGCTCAGGCCGCATCGTCAACGTCTCCAGTGTCTCATCTTCTATTGGCTACCTCGGCCAGTCCGTTTACGCCGGCAGCAAAGGCGCTCTCGAAGTCATGACCCGAACATGGGCCCGCGAGCTCTCAGAACGAGCAACGGTCAACTCAGTCAATCCGGGACCTGTTTGGGGCGACATGTACGCTGAGGCAGGCCCGGCATTCTGGTCTACCAACCAGCCATTCGTGGATGTGGCACCGCTGACAGCCTACAATGGCGAGGCCAACGTGCTGGCAAAGGTGGGAGAAGACGCTGACAAATTCGATAAGCTGGTGCGAGGAGGCATGGGTGGACGACGGCCCGGTTTTGTTGATGAGGTTGCTGGGACGATTGACATGCTGTGCACGGAGGAGAGTGGATGGACGACAGGGAGCGTGGTTTGCGCCAATGGTGGAATGAGGATGACCTTGGCGTAGATCAAAACCAAGCTGAATCTATATAAATGCCGATGCTAATTCATTACTCGCTGTACATATTTAACACTCTATTTCGCCTTGGTCGGCTATGTATTGTCCCCAATGTTTTATTGTGAGCACTCATTCTTCTCATTGCCGTGTATGAACTCTGGTGGAGGTTGCGGATGAGGTGAGCCTTTCAACATACAAGTAAAGGTTGAGCAGCATGCAGGAAGCACTGTACTTGAACCTCATTACCTGCCGCGAACGTTGTAGCCATCTGGTCATCGTTTGGATTATATAGGCTGGCGTAAATGTTCGAAACCCATGATAGTATCATAGTAATGTCTCTTACTTCCGTCACCCACGTCTATCCCCTCAATATCCCCTGAGCTCGGTGCGTCCAAGGTGATTCTAGTCACCAAGTCCGCGTCAGGCCTGCCCAGAAATGGCAAGGAGTAATATTTTTGAGGTGTTTGTTTTCATTACTACATAGGTAGCTAAGCATCTCTGGGTACAGTTATGTACTGATTTTGTATAACAAAAGCCCTGATTTTCCATTTCCCTCCTCTCAGCTCTCAACATCTTGATAAGTCAAATAGTCTGCACAAATAATTCCACCCCCTCTGCTCACCGATGTGTTAAGAAACAACTTTCTGCAAGACTCCCTTCAAAATTCCAAATCATATCTTAAAATCCTGCTCGAATCCTTGTTCAGCACCAGACATGGCAGCGTAAACCTCTCTGCCCAAAGCCACGAGCGCAGAAGCAGCGCCTTCATTTCGAACTTCTCTTAAGCATTCAGCAGCGTACATTGCCGCGTGAATCACGCAGTCATGCTGAATTGCTGACTTCCGATCGATCGTCACCTTTCTACCTCGAATGTTGACAAAGTAGCCCATATCGCGAAGAATATCCAGGGAACTGGCGAGTAGTTTCTGAGGGTTCAAGGGCGCAGTTTGGATGCTCCAAAGGTTAATATCCCAGCAGTCAAACCGGGGAAGACGCTCATAGTACGCCTTGGGATACGTCTCTCGGATTTCTTCTAGAAGCTTCTTGGCTCTGGCCCTCTTTACAGCAGAAAACCTATAATTGTTCAAATTCTTTATACCATTCTCGGACAGGAACGAGTCGATTTCCTTGCGAAGTCGAGCGCGCTTGACGATGGTGGCCTTGGGAACCTTTGCTTCTGCGTGACAGAGATCGCAATCGCACTTGAAGCCATAATGATTCTTTACAATGTCCTGCCGCTCCTCAAAGGGCTTATCTTGGGGAACATATTGCATGAGGATTTCTCCTCCGACTGGAATATCTCGCAGGGCGCGGACGATCATCATGTCGCCGATGAAAGCGCGAGTCGCATTGGGGAGACACGAATGGTTCGCGTACGAAGCCTGAAGCCAAATGCCCGTGCTTTCCCCAAAGCCTAAATTCCCCGCCTTGAGCTGTTTCTTGTCCCTGGATTTGACTCTAGGGCAGCCAAAGCCATTGAGCTCTGCAATAGCTTGAACTCGGAACGTGTCCACGGCAACCCTTCCATCGACCATCTTGAGTTCCTTTTCGTTGCCAAACTTGCCTCCGTCGAAAAGGTCAATATACTGATTTGCAAGTGTTGGGTTCCATATCATCTTGTCAACAGTCCCTTGAAGGCGTAGGCTATCCGTTCCGATAGAAACGCGATTGGTGTTGATGTTGAGAAGAACCAACATGCATTCGCCGTCATCGTGTGCTATGTAGAAAGCTTTCTCTACAAAGACGATGTCACCTGGCTTCAGCATCTCCGTAGCAAAGAGTCCGCGACCACGGCTCCCTGCTTGAGCAACTTTGACGCGTCTAAGAAACGATGCGTGGTCGAGTAAATGATGCTGCTTGGTAACAGATCTAGCCATCAGAGAGAAATCGAATTTTCCATTCTCCTGTTCTGAGATACGCTTCAGCGTCCGAAAAAGTTCATTTCGAGATTCTTTGTTGCTCCCATCGAGTTCAAGTGCTTGGCCAAAGAGTTGTTTTGCTTGGGCAAAGTCTTGCATCTCATAGGCAGCCTTACCTGCTCGATAAAGGGCTTTGATATTTAGACTTTTAGCAGCTTCCGATATATCTTCAGCCGAGTTTATAGAAGCCATTGCGTCTTTGATGGCCAGCTCGTAGCGACCAAGGCGTAAGTTTGCCGCAGCACGATTCCGGCACAGATCTCGCCGAAGATCACCGTCATCTCCATCCAAGCCACAAGCGTCCAGGGCATCAGAATAGATCTCAACCGCCTCTCGGAAATCGCCTCTCATGAACTTTGAATTGGCCTCTTCCTTCAGGCCAATTGCTGACTGACCTATCTGCTTTATGCGGACGTCGAAAACGCGAGGAATGATGCTATTGCCGGGCCTGAGCAGCACAAAGTCGGTGGGATGATCGACTCGTACAATGACGCCACCATCAGCAGTACATTTGTAGTATGGCTCTTTAATTGCCACTACAGCACCCTGAGGAAGCACTGCGCTGGGCTCAGTAGTCGGAAGCAGGTTGTAGATGGCAAGGCGATTGACATCTCCGAGCTCATCCTCGACCGCGTTCTGGATGGATGCCAGATAGTGTGGCTCACAAAAAGCTCTGACGATGAGGACACGACCGCGATGCTGCGTTTCAAGCGTGAGATCGCGAAGGTGTATCGGTGCGAGGCTGGAGAGAGGCAAAGTACAGGGCGGGTACGCTGCGCCTATGAAGCAACTGCGAATGTTGTGTCGGTCAAGCAACATCAAGTCACGCATGCCATCTTGCAATGCCTAAAAAAAGATCAGCATATGCGTGTCCATTTTTTGCCAACAAAGGGTGGACTAAAGGGACGCCATACCAACATATAAAACTCTTGCTGAAGAGTACTCCGAGAGCGCTTCATTGAAGCTGGAGGCTTCTGTCCTTTATAGGCCTGAGCTCTATTGAGCTGTGCCTTTTGTTGCTCTAAGAGAGCAAAATATTTGTCCGTACTCATATCGTCTGTTTCCATGGCAAAGTCAGATGCCGAGAGATGGTGGCGGTTATCAAGGACACAAAGAGCGTGGTAATATGGTGAGTTGGCGAGGAATTTGATGATTGATTTGTGTTGGTTTGTTTGGATGGAAAAAGAGAATTGAGCGCAATAATACAAGATACACTAGAGGTTTTAAACTGGCGAAGTGAATGGATAGGGGCGAGCATGTGATCTTTGGCTGAGGGAAAAGCGAGGCTGCATGCTGCGGTTTCGTGTGTGTCACTGCAAGTTGGTTGTAGGCCTCCCTCATGTGCTAGATGCTTATTGGCTTGATGCACTCCAAGTGAGTTAGCCGACCACCTGGCATTCACTCATTCGTGGGTTCAGGAAGTTAGAAATCCTTGCGCTGGCACTTGGAATCCTCTGTATTAATTTCTGCTCTTCACGGTTGTTGGCAGCTGACATTGCAAAGCTGCTCTTTGTCTCCTGGCGCCTTTCTGGATGCTGGACAAAGAGATGCTAATCTGCCACTGCCCACCATTACTGCACATGAGGGCTTTGTTCTTCGATCCAGTACTTGGAAAGAATGACAGGCGAGCAGCAAATAGCGAGAGTAGGCAGAAAACTGTTATCCAATGAACCATTTTGTTTAGGCAGCGGCCCAGTCGTGGCCGATGTCGTAAAATTCCAGCCATTTTACCCTTCTTCTGTTTCTGCTCGCAGCTCAAAGCACAAAGAGACGAGAAGAGTCCTTTTGTTTTTCTATTTGTAGGAACTGCAATCCATGAACCCTTTTACAGAAACCCAAAGCCACTCTCATACGTATTATTTAGCTCGCTGTCCTTTGTGTGATATATTCTTGGGTTCATTGTCATGATGTCCGTTGCCCATCAAACAAACAGACCGACCACGTCATGTCTATGTAGCCTTACTTTGCGAGCATCAGGCTACTTAACTCAGTACTTTCTCTCACTTCTTACATTGTAGAATCCATGACTTTCTTTTCTTCTCGGTATATCATACCTACATAAACTCACAAACCATCCTTTCCTAGTCTCCATGGAACAAGCCCGAGCCGCGAGAGCCGCTCAAGAGGTGCACGACTGTCCCGAGAACCCAGGTCAAAAGCGAACAATTCAAGATACAGGCACTAAAAACCCCAATTCTGGATCTATTGCGAAGCGAAAGCGAGAGCCCGAACTCTCTGATGGAAACGCCCTTGCTGAAAGCCCAGTCGCCTTTTGGGCGAGAGAAGGGTTATGGCCTCCCAAATACAAGAGGCGTGACAGACAACATATACTGGCACGAGAATACCCAACAGAGCCCATGGTGTTGAACAGCCACGGGGAAGACATGTCAAATGCACAAGACTCGAACGAAACAGGAAATGCAGGAAATGCGGAAGGTGCGGGAATTGCAGAAGGCTTGGAAGATGCGGAAGATGTGGAAGATGAGGAAGATGCAGAGAGTGATTGTTGGGCACATGAGGAAAAAATCACTCTGTACGAGAAGCTTGAATGGAAGCTCGATAAAGAGCGCAGCTTTATCTGCGATTCATTCCTAGGCGCCGACCCCAAAATCACGGAGCTTTGTCAAAAGTGGCTTGAGGAACCTCAGGAACATCCCGATGGACTGGAACCTGGCGTTGACTTTTTCGAGTCTCTCGAACAGGACAAGACTGAGCTCGAGGCCGCCGAAATGTTCAGCTCGCACATGAAGCCCTATGAAGGGGTCCAAATCCTGAGCACAAGCTTTTACAGAGGCTGGAATAATTCGGTTCCCCTGACTGAAATGCGGCCACAGCCCGACTTGACGGTTGGATTTGCCCTATGCGAGTTTACCCAGGATCAGCTCAAGCGACTTCTTCCGTTCATTGGCAGAGATGCCACCAATTATCTTTCTTTCTTCATGGCCACAGACAAGATATGCTTCCCATTTCTGACGTACGAATTGGACGACATCTCCCTCGACAACGCAGAACTTTTGAATGCTCACAACATGACTCTGGCCGTGCGTGGCGTCGTCGAGCTGTTTCGCCTCGTGAACCGCCAGCACGAACTTCATCGGCAGATTCTTGCCTTTTCTCTCTCTCACGACTGCACATCCGTGCAGATTTATGGCCATTATGCGGAAATCAAGGGGAAATTAACCACGTACTATCACCATCCGATCCACAGCTATAGATTTGAGCATGAGGAGGAAGAGGGGAAATGGGCGGCGCACCGGTTTGTGAAGAATGTATATGATAAATGGGTGCCTGATCACTACGAGAGGATTTGCTCGGCTATCAATCAGCTGCCGATGTTGGGATCTGATCCAGAGGCGATTTTCAATCATAAATGGGATCCTATGTCGCAATTACCTGATGCACTGGCTCATCTTGAGACAGAGTAGTATACACGCCTTGGGAATTGTGCATATGTGTATTCTCTGTATTCACGCGCATACTTTACATGTGTATATCTCTGCATTTCACAAACGCTGTGTTAGGATAGGATAGCTTGTCTAGATATTAATGTTTTCATAAAGTTGGTTGTTCGCATTCAATGTCCATATCGATTATAAGGTGTCCACAACACGTTTAAAAGCAAAACACTTAGCGCGGGTATTTAGATCGTATTGTTTGCTGTGGTTTTTGTCTTGTTTTTCTGCGTTTAATGCGAGCATCGCAGCGACGCTGTGAAGAGTGACGATAACTGCTTTTACCTGCTTGAAGTTATTTCCAAGGGTCGAATCACCCAGGGCTATATACACCCTGTCAATGGCCTCAAATCAAGGCGTCATAACGACTTTGCAGCTTGTTGGAATACAGCCCTTTCAACCGTTTTGCTGTACCGAGCTTTGCAGGCACAGGGCACCGGCTCCTAGGCTTATTATAGGCTAGCTGGAATGCTTTGTGTATCTATTAGTCAGCTATCTTAGCTATTTATTATAGGCCTGTGCGGCATTCCCTTTATACTAATATAAGGCTCTTTTATAACCTTTACTATATACTTAATTTATGTAACTAATCTAAGCTTTTTAATAGTTATAAGCCCGGGTGGTATACTTTATTAAGACACTAAGTCAGACCACCCACTTCTCGGCCACCCCTATATCTCTGTCACAACCCATCTCTTATAGTCGCACCAACAGGCCTACCGGGTAGGTAGAACCGGATTAATGTAGGACCGACCTACTAATCACAGACGGATTATTGGATTATCTTAATAATCCAATGAGCTAGGAACGGATTATTAGAATCTTAAGATAATTTATAATAGATTATTAGATTTCACTAATGATCCTATTTAGTTAACTGGATATATAAGTTTACTTCTCTACGCTTACTTAAATAACTTAAATAGCTAGTTATTAACATAGAATTAAAATTGCAATATACTTTATACTGCTTACTATTTAATGATATTTATTATTACTATTTATATTGCATAAAGATCTCTTAATTGCTCCGCTAATATAAACCTAGAATTAAACTTTAGGTTTATCCCTTAGGAATCCCTTATATTACTAACTAATTAGTATATAGTTTATTACACATTAATAACTCTTATTTAAATAGTTATAAGACTTATGTATAATATTAAAATAATAGCTATTAATAAACAGAACCCTAATCTTGTCACGACCTAACTCTTAAGGTCGCAATAACGGGCCTACCGGGTAGGCCTCGCCGGATTAACTACGGGCCGGCGGACTAATAAAGAGCGACTTATCGCTCTTATTAAATAAGTCCAGCGAGTTAACTTATTAAACTTACTAAATAAGTCTCATAAGTCTATTAACTTAACTGGATATATAAGTTTACTTCTTTACGCTTATTTAAATAACTTAAATAGCTAGTTATTAATATAAAATTAAGATTATAACACACTCTGCACTGCTTACTATTTAGTAATATTTATTATTACTGTTTATATTACATAAAGATCTCCTAATTACTCTGCTAATATAAACCTAGAACTAAACTCTAGGTTTATCCCTTAGGAATCCCTTATATTACTAACTAATTAGTGTATAGTTTATTATATATTAATAACTCTTATTTAAATGGTTATAAGACTTACATACAATATTAAAATAATAGCTATTAATAAATAAAACCCTAATCTAATGTAAGACATTCCTGCTAAATAGCAGCAAGTGCCGCCTTAGCTTACCCCTAAGTAAAGGGCAATTAATGCACTTCTCGCTTGCATTAAGACCCTAGAATAAACTATTATAGAATAATAAGAATAATTAAACACCCATTACACTAAGGAAAAAAGGGAAATTATATAACCTAAGTGTCCTAATAACTATAATAGAAACCCCGTTAATTAAGAAAAATACTTTAATAAGGTAAAAACTTACTTTAAGTACTTTATTATTACCTTAGCAGACAATAAGGATAAAGTTTATTTCACAGGAAGCTGCCTTATAAGAGCAGCTAAAGAATAGTTTAAACTTTATATAAAGGATTAAAATGCTAAATTAAATTAAATAGAATTAAAGGAAGAAACCTAATATATTTTTAAAAAATACTAAAACTTTAAGGATAAACTTATTAAGGCCTTTAAAACCACTAATAAATAATAAGAAGTAAAAAAACAGCTTTAATCTCTAATCTAAAAAAGACCCTTATTTAAACATATAGCTACCTTTATCTAACTCCTTTAGAAAGTTAATTAAACTAAAGAATCTAAGAAAGAACGCTACTATATAAGCGTTAAATTAAAAGTTAAGGATAAACTTTATAAACTTAACTAAGATAAAATAAGCTTTACTAAATTTACAGAAAAAGCTATTAAGATTAATAACCGCTAATATAAGCAAAAGCAGGAATATAAGGCAGAGAAATTTAAAACTTAACTAAGATTTTAACCTTAGGCTAACTAAGGTAAGAAATAATCTAACTATATCGCAAAGGATAACAGTACTTAACCTAGAAGAATGGACATTAATACTATTAACTATAAGAAATTTCCAGAAACCTATAACACTTATAGCAAGAAGGGCTATAAGGAAGCAGACTGCTATTTTAAAATAACCTATAGGTTTTATAGTAAAAGGGGTTATAATAAAGCCTATTACTACACTAAGAAGAATATAAGAAAATTTAAGAACCCTAAGGATAAAGCTTAAATAAATGCAATTATAAAAGTACTATATAATTACCTTAGCTAAATAGTATACTATAATAATTTATATCTTATATACTAAAGCAGTAAAGAAGGATTAGGATACTACTTAAAGAAACCATAAGCTAAAAAATCTTATAAGACTATAATAATTAACACCCTTAACTTTTATAAAAAACTAAGATACAAAGACTGCAGCTTAATAGAACCTTATTTTACTTATACACTTTATAAATACTTATCTTATAGCTTATAGAATATTAATTATATATGCAAAAATAATAAATTAAAGGATAAGAAGGAATAGGAACTCTTAGATAAAGAATCTAGTAAAGATAAAATTACCTATAATAAAAATAAAAGAATCCACAAATATAGCTTTTAAAAAATAAATAGAAAATATTAACAGTAGATTAACACCCTCCTAGATACACACCCTTTTATAAAATATAAGGAGGAATTAAAGGACTTTAAAAATGAACTCTTATACCACCTATGTAATCTAAAGAACCTTAAATATAGAAAAACTACACTCTTATATAACTAAGGATATAATAAATATAAGCTATACTTAAAAGGAAAATATATCTTAAATCCTTATATTTATAAGTGTAAACTCTATAGAATAATAAACCTTAATTATAATTATAAGGAATATTTTATATATAGCTTATAAGACCTTAACCATAGCTGTAAAGAAGCCTTAGATACATTAATTAAGGAATATAAATAATAAGAAGAAAGGCGATAATATTTAAAGGAACACCCCCCAGTATAAATCAATTTACCTATAATTAATATTACCGGAGCCTATAACTATATCTTACTACTACACTTATACCCCCTATTAAAAATAGGACTTATAAAAGAATATAAGTTTAATAAAGAATGCATAGAAAGAAATTATAAATACTGCGATAACCTATATTACAGATAATATATATATAATAAAGTTAAAGATTAGCATAAATATTAACTAAAATAAGTTAAGTATAAGAAATACATAATAAATTACTTCCTAAATTATATAATTATATATTGCAGTATATATAGAAAAGAGAAAAGCCAATTCTATTAGATTACCTAAAAACTAGCACAAAAAGGCTATAATTTTAAAAACTATCTAAAGCAAAGACAAGGAAATAAAGCCCTAATTAAAAGATATTACTGTTTAATTAAAGACTAAAATAAAGAATTAAAGTGCTAATAGTGTGTAAAATACTAAAGTGTTATATAGGATTAAACCCATTTAAATAGCATTTAAATTAACTTAATTAGATATAATAATAAGAAACTATAAATTAAAGGGTACATTAACTAATAATTAGTTATAATATATATAGATAGTAGTGTGGATTATAACCTTATTACTCCTTAAATAGTAAACCTGCTTAAATTACTATACGCTAAGAAAAAATAACCTATATATATATTTAATATTACTACACCTAATACTAAGGTAATAATTAACTATAAGACTAATTATCTTTTAATTATAATTGCTAGTTATACTAAGACTATTAAGTTTAATATTATGCCTCTTAGTAACTGCGATATTTTACTTAGACACCTATAGTTAAAATAAGGCAATTTACTAATTAACTAGAAAACTAAATAAATACTCTAGGAAATAGACATTACCTAGGAGCTATAATTAAGCTATAGAGAGGGCAAGGAAGGCGAAGACGCGCCTATAGACCCAAAAATAAAATCTTATGTATAATAAAATTAAGAAAATATAGAAAAAATAGGAACAGAACCTAAGAAAAAGGTTAGATTTAATATAGAAAAATCACTAGTACTACTATAATATAACTATAAAAGAGTTAAAGGAGAGTGAGTGCGCATTAATAGAATTATTATATAAGTTAAAATAAAATTATAAGCCTTAAATAAAGTATTGCTAGAAGCTAAGAAAAAAGAAAAACTTAGAGAACTTAAAGAAATTCTCTAGAAAGCACCTTAATAATACTAAAGGAAATATAAAAAACTATTTAGTTTAATATTAGAAATAGTACAGCTACTTTACTTATAATAGGATTATTATATAGATCTTATAGATAGTAAAATAATAAAGTTCTTTTTAATTTATAATCTTAGTGAAGTAAAACTTAAAATACTTTAAGAATAAATATAAAAATAATTAGAAAAAGGATATATTAGGCTATTTATATCACTAGCTAAATACCCTATTATATTTATACTAAAGAAAAATAGGAAACTTAAACTAGTTATTAACTACTAATAGCTAAATGAAATTACAATTAAGGATTAAACCTTATTACCGCTTATTATAGAAATTTAAGACTAACTAACTAGTGTAAATTAGTTTACTGCCTTAGACTTTAAGGGAGTGTATAACTTAATTTACATCCGCGAAGGGGATAAATGGAAAATAGCGTTTAAAATACACTATAGATTATTTAAATGCTTAGTAATACTATTTAGGCTAACTAACGCACCCGCAATATTTTAATAAATAATTAACTATATACTATAAGTATATATTAATAACTTTATAATTATATACTTTAATAATATTCTTATTTTCTTAAAAACCCTTAAAGAGCATAAGAAATATATCTATTAGGTATTATAAATATTATAAGACACTAACCTTTTAGTAGAATTAGAAAAATATTATTTCTACGTTTAAGAAGTTAAGTTCCTAGGATACCTAATCTTACTAGGGTAAGTTTAAATAAATTTAAATAAGCTTAAGGCAATATAAGAATAAAAGCTACTTAATATAAGAAAGGGAATGCAAAGCTTTCTAGGCCTAGTGAATTACTATTAGAGATTCATTAGGAACTACAGTAAAATCGCTAAACTATTAATAAACGCTACTTAACTTAAAGAAGATGAAAAAGGTAAGAAAAAATAAAAAGATAGGTAACTTATATATAAACTAGAAATGGAAGAAGCGTTTAAACAACTTAAAAACACACTTCTTAGCAAACCTATGCTTATTATATATAATCTTAATAAACTATTAGAAATTAAAACCAATTCATTAGATTTCGCCATTAAAGAAGTACTAATATAAAAAGATAAAAATAGGAAAAACCATTTAGTAGCATTTTTCTTATAAAAGCTACATAAACTAGAACTAAAATATCCTATCTATAATAAGGAATTTATAGTAATTCTTAAAGCATTTAAGGAATAGTAATATTATTACTTAGGAAGTAAGTATAAGGTTAAGGTCTACACTAACTACTATAATATTATATACTTTACTAAAACTTAAAAGCTCTTTGCATACTAGACCCGCTACTTTAAGACACTCTTAGACTTTAATTATAAACTTACTTACTGTAAAGGCACTGCTAATAGATAAGCAGATGCCCTAAGTTAAAAAGAGGAATATTTTAAAGAAATTTTAGAAATTAAAGCCTAAATTTTAAGAAAGAATTATAAAGGTAACTATAAATAAATATAAATTAACACTCTATTTGTTATAAAAGAATATAACCCTATTCTTAATAAAATAAGGGAATATATATTAAATATAGAACTAGATAAATTACTAGAAGAAGCAATTATTAAAGAAAGCTTACTAAAATAGGAAAGAAAAATTTAAGTACTACTAAAATTATAACTAAAAGTAATCTAAGACTTATACTGTAGTATAATTATAATAGCATACTGTGGTATTAAAATAATATAGAACTATATAGTATGCTATTATAAGTTTTTAAGGATAAAGAATAAAATCTCAGAAGTTATTAAAAAATGCAATATATATAAGAAAATAAAAGATAAAAGGCATTAGCTATATAGGATATTATAACTAATCCCAGTTCCGGAAAGGAACTAGCACACTATTACATTTAACTATATTACTAACTTACTTAAGTTAAAAGACCTATTAACAGGGAAACACTTTAACAGCATTTTTATTATTATAAATAAACTCTTAAAGTAAGTATATTTCTTACTATATAAGAAGGTATATAATACAGAAAACCTAGTGTATCTCTATATAAGATATATATTTACTAAATATAAAATACTAAAAGAAATTATATTAAATAAAGAAAGTACCTTTACGTCTAAATTCTAGCAGGAATTAATAGCTAAACTTAGAATTTATTATAAGTTAAGTATTACATTCTATCCACAAATAGATAAACAAATAGAATAAATAAATCAAGTTATTAAAGCATACTTATAATATTACATTAACCTTTAGTAAGATAACTAGGTTAAGATATTACTAATTGCTTAAATGTAATATAATAGCTCCATAATGGAAACTATAGGAGTTATACTATTCTACGCCAATTATAGGTTTACACCAGAAGCCTATAAACCACCTCACAATAGTCTAAATGCAAATAATATATATATTCTTATAGAAAATATAATCCAATTACAGAAAGAACTTAAAGTTTAACTTAAATTCTTTAGGCAGCGTATAAAGGAATACACTAACTAAATAAGGATTAAGAGACTAACCCTTTAAGAGGGAGATATAATTTACTTACTATAATATTTATATAATAAAAAATTACTAAATATTAGAATAAATAGGCTAAGTAATAAATTAAATTTTAGAAAACTTAAACTATTTAAAATTTTAAAGAAAATTAGCGAAGTTAACTATAAATTAGACTTATTTAAGAATATAAGATTAAAAATAGCTGTCTTTTATATATTACTACTTAAGAAAGCACTAGTGGATAAAGAAATAGGTAAATTAATTATAAATAAAATTATTATTTAAGATATTAAAAAAAAATATAAAATTAAGAAATTACTTTATATATAAATTAATAAAGAAATAAAGGAATAGGAATATCTTATAAGATAAAAAGGATATAATTTTAGCGAAGACTCTTAGGTCCTAGAAAAAGAACTTAAGAGGAATGCTTAAATAACTCTGCGGGAATTTTACTAGTCTCTAGGGGTGGAAATAACAATGGGTCCAGTTTAAAGGCAGACTAATTAATAGCGTTAATAGACTGGGACGGACCGGCAGCGGCAGAACTAAGCGCTAATAAAGCAGCCTAATAAGCAGCCTCCGCCTCCTTACACTTAACCCAATTTAACTCCTTTAAATTAGTAATTTCCTGCGCAATAGCACGCTTTGTTCTTTTATACTAAACCCGCTTCTGCTTGCAAAGACAGGCTACCTTAGCAGCCGCTTTAGTAAGAATATCTTCCGCTTCCTCTAACTCTTCCTTTAAATAAAAATAATAAGAAAAAATATAATTAAATTAATTAAGCATTAAGTCTTAAATATTGTAATATAATTTATTTAAATAAATACACTTATAATAATGTAATAAATTTAAAAATAAGATAATACAGTTAGTGTAATTCTTTAAAATATAGTTTAAATAATGGGTGTTAGATTTAGCTATACTAGATATTATAGCTCTTAATAAAGAATTGCGTTAATAAGTTCTCTTATAAAGAGATTTCTTAATAATTTTATCTAGTATTATAAGGTTAGTAGAATAAATAAGAAATACATTAGAAAAGAAAATAGGTTAAACACTTACTAAGTGGGGGTGCCGCTACTTATATTAAAATCTACTAGGTCTTAGGGATAAGACTAATAGAGAGAGAGTATTATGTCATAACCTAACTCTTAAGGTCGTAATAATAGGCCTACCGGGTAGGCCTCGCCGGATTAATTACAGGCCGGCGGACTAATAAAGAGTGACTTATCGCTCTTATTAAATAAGTCCAGTGAGTTAACTTATTAAACTTACTAAATAAGTCTCACAAGTCCATTAACTTAACTAAATATATAAGTTTACTTCTTTACGCTTATTTAAATAACTTAAATAGCTAGTTATTAACATAAAATTAAGATTATAACACACTCTGCACTGCTTACTATTTAGTAACATTTATTACTACTATTTACATTACATAAAGATCTCTTAATTGCTCCGCTAATATAAACCCAGAACTAAACTCTAGGTTTATCCCTTGGGAATCCCTTGTATTACTAACCAACTAGTGTACGGTTTGTCATAAATCTAATGTAAGACATTCCTGCTAAATAGTAGTAAGTGCTACCTTAGCTTATCCCTAAGTAAAGAGCGATTAATGCACTTCTCGCTTATATTAAGACCTTAAAATAAACTATTATAGAATAATAAGAATAATTAAATACCTATTGCACTAAGGAAAAAGAAAAAATTATTTAACCTAAGAGGCTAAATAATTATAATAGTAATTATATTAATAAAGAGAAATATTTTAATAAGGTAGAAACTTATTTTAGTTACTTTAATATTACTTTATTAAATAATAAGGATAAGGTTTATTTTATAAGAAGCTATTTTATAAGGGCAGCTAAAGAATAGTTTAGACTTTATATAAAGGATTAAAATATTAAATTAAATTAAATAAAATTAAAGGAAAAAACCTAATATATTTTTAAGAAATATTAAAACTTTAAGGATAAATTTATTAAGGCCTTTAAAACTATTAATAAATAATAAGAAGTAAAAAAATAGCTTTAATCTTTAATTTAAAAAGGACCCTTATTTAAATATATAGTAACCTTTATTTAATTTCTTTAGAAAGTTAATTAAATTAAAGAATTTAAGAAGGAATATTATTATATAAGTATTAAGCTAAAAGTTAAGGATAAACTCTATAGGCTTAATAGGGATAAGATAAGCTTTATAAAATTTATTAAAGAAGCTATTAAAATTAATAATTACTAATATAAGCGAAAGTAAGAATATAAGGCAGAGAAATCTAAAACTTAATTAAAATTTTAGCCTTAGGTTAACTAAGGTAAGAAATAATTTAATTATATTATAAAAGATAATAGCACTTAACTTAGAAAAATAGATATTAATACTATTAACTATAAGAAGTTTTTAGAAACCTATAATGCTTATAGTAAAAAGGGCTATAAGGAAGTAGACTATTATTTTAAGATAACCTGCGAATTCTATAGCAAGAAAGGCTATAATAAAGCCTACTGCTACACTAAGAAAAATAAAAGATATTCTAAGACTATTAAAGATAAGGTTTAAATAAACGCAATTATAGAAATACCCTACAATTACCTTAGCTAAATAGCTTACTATAATAATTTATATCTTATATATAAAAGCAGTAAGGAGGGATCTGGATATTACTTAAAAAGGCCATGGGCTAGGAAGTCTTATAAGACTATATAAATTAATACCCTTAATTTTTATAAAAAATATAAAGACTATAGCCTTATAAAACCCTATTTTATTTATATACTTTATAAATGCTTATCTTATAGCTTATAGAATATTAACTATATATATAAAGAAAAATAAATCACTACTTAAAAAGAAAATTATAAATATAATAACTACTACTTATAAAACTATAACTATAAATATATAAAATGCCTAGACTATAGATTTATAAAAGAATATTACTATAGCTATAAAGGAGAGCATTAATAAAATATAAATAAAATATATAAACTCTTTAAAGAATAAAATAAAGTAGCTAAAGAATACTTTAAAGACTTTAAAGAAAAAAAAAAACTTATATAAAAAATATTTTATATATACTAATATAAGCTTTATAAGTTAAAAGACTTAGACTATAAGTACTAGGGATATAATACCTATAGCTTATAAAACCCTTAATATAACTATAATAAAGTTTTAAATACATTAGTTAGGGAATATTAAAGATAAGAAAAATAGAGATAGTACTTAAAGGAATTCCCTTTAATGTAAATTAACCTCCCTATGCTTATTAAAATTAATATCTTTAACGCTTATAATTATATTATATTACTATAATTTTATACTTTATTAAGAATAAGACTTATAGAAGAATATAGATTTAATAAAGAATATAAGAATAAAAATTATAAATACTATAATAAGTTATACTATAAACTATATATATATAATAAAATTAAAAAATAATATAATAACTTATAAATATATTACTAATTAATTAAATATTAAAAAATGCATTTTTTAAATTATAAAAGATAATATTATAATATATATATAGTAGAATAATAGTAATATTAATAAGTAATAATAAAACTAAGAATAAAAGGCTATAACTTAAAGAAATATTATAATACTTAGGAAAAAAGTAAAGGACTTATTAAAAAATATTATTATTTAATTTAAAAATAAAATTATAATATTAAATACTAATAGTATATAAAATATTAAGATATTATATAAGAATAAAACTATTTAAATAGTATTTAAATTAATTTAATTAAATGTAATAATAAGAAATTATTAATTAAAGGGTATATTAATTAATAGTTAGTAAAGATATATATAAATAGTAGTATAGATTATAACTTTATTACTCTTAAAATAGTAAACTTACTTAAGTTACTATATATTAAGAAAAAATAACTTATATATATATTTAGTATTACTATACTTAATACTAAGGTAATAATTAATTATAAGACTAATTATTTTTTAATTATAATTATTAGTTATACTAAGACTATTAAGTTTAATATTATACCTCTTAGTAACTATAATATTTTACTTAAATACCTATAGTTAAAATAAGATAATTTATTAATTAATTAAAAAATTAAATAAATACTTTAGGAAAAAGATATTACCTAGGAGCTATAATTAAGCTATAGAGAGGGTAAGGAAGGCAAAGATATGCCTATAGACTTAAAAATAAAATCTTATGTGTAATAAAATTAAGAAAAATTAGAAAAAATAAAAATAGAACTTAAGAAAAAGGTTAAATTTAATATAGAAAAATTACTAATATTACTATAATATAATTATAAAAGAGCTAAAGGAGAATAAGTGTATATTAATAAAATTATTATATAAGTTAAAATAAAATTATAAGCCTTAGATAAAGTATTATTAAAAGCTAAGAAAAAAGAAAAACTTAAAGAACTTAAAGAAATTCTTTAAAAAGCACTTTAATAATATTAAAGAAAATATAGAAAACTATTTAATCTAATATTAAAAATAGTATAATTACTTTATTTATAATAGGATTATTATATAAATCTTATAAATAGTAAAATAATAAAGTTCTTTTTAATTTATAACTTTAGTAAAATAAAACTTAAAATACTTTAAAAATAAATATAAAAATAGTTAAAAAAAGAATATATTAAGCTATTTATATTACTAGCTAAATACTCTATTATATTTATACCTAAGAAAAATAGGAAACTTAAATTAGTTATTAATTACTAATAGCTAAATAAGATTACTATTAAAGATTAAACCCTATTACCGCTTATTATAGAAATTTAAAACTGCCTAACTAATGCTAATTAATTTATTACCTTAGACCTTAAGGGAGTGTATAACCTAATCTACATCCACAAAGGGGATAAATAGAAAATAATATTTAAAATATACTATAAATTATTTAAATACTTAGTAATACTATTTAAGCTAACTAATATACCTGTAATATTTTAATAAATAATTAACTATATACTATAAGTATATATTAATAACTTTATAATTATTTACCTTAATAATATTTTTATTTTTTTAAAAACCCTTAAAGAATATAAGGAATATATTTATAAGGTATTATAAATATTATAAGACACTAACCTATTAATAAAACTTAAGAAATATAGTTTCTATATATAAGAAGTTAAGTTCTTAGGATACTTAATTTTACTAGAATAAGTTTAAATAGACTTTAATAAGCTTAAACTAATTTAAAACTAAGAATTCTTAAAAATAAAAAAAGGAATATAAAGCTTCTTAGGCTTAGTAAATTACTATTAAAGATTTATTAAGAACTATAGTAAAATTACTAAGCTACTTATTAATGCCACTTAACTTAAAGAAAATAAGAAAGGTAAAAAGAAATTAAAAAATAAGAAACTTATATATAAATTAAAAATAAAAGAAGTATTTAAATAACTTAAAAATACACTCCTTAATGAACCTATACTTATTATATATAATCCTAATAAACCCTTAGAGATTAAAATTAATTTATTAAACTTTACTATTAGTAAAGTATTAATATAAAAAAATAAAAATAAGAAAAACTATTTAATAGCCTTTTTCTTATAAAAACTATATAAACTAAAGTTAAGATATTTTATTTATAATAAAGAATTTATAATAATTTTTAAAGTATTTAAAGAATAAAGATATTACTATTTAGGAAGTAAGTATAAGGTTAAGGTTTATATTAATTATTATAATATTATATACTTTACTAAGACTTAAAAACTCTTTATATAATAAACTTATTACTTTAAGATACTATTAAACTTTAATTATAAACTTATTTATTATAATAGTATTACTAATAGATAAGTAAATACTTTAAGTAGAAAAGAAGAATACTTTAAAGAAATTCCGGAATTTAAAGCTTAAATTCTTAAGAAAAATTACTAAGGAAATTATAAATAAATATAAGTTAATACTTTATTTATTATAGAAGAATATAACCCTATTTTTAATAAAATAAGGGAATATATAGTAAATATAGAATTAAAAGAACTCTTAGAAGAAGTAATTATTAAAGAAAGATTGCTAAAATAGGAAGAGAAAATCTAAGTATTATTAGAATTATAAATTAAAGTAATTTAAGACTTATATTAAAGTATAATTATAGCTATATATTATAGTATTTATATAATATAAAATTACACAGTATAATATTATAAATTTCTAAGGATAAAAAATAAAATCTTAGAAGTTATTAAGAAATATAATATATATAAGAAAATAAAGGATAAAAGGCATTAGCTATATAAAATATTATAACTAATCCTAGTTTTAAAAAGGAATTAATATATTATTATATTTAACTATATTACTAACTTGCCTAAGTTAAGAGATTTATTAATTGGAAAATAATTTAATAGTATTTTTATTATTATAGATAAACTCTTAAAGTAAGTATATTTCTTACTATATAAGAAAGTATATAATATAAAAAACTTAGTATATTTTTATATAAGATATATATTTATTAAATATAAAATGCTAAAAGAAATTATATTAAATAAAGGTAGTACTTTTATATTTAAATTTTAGTAAGAATTAATAGCTAAACTTAAAATTTATTATAAGTTAAGCATTATATTTTATTTATAAATAAATAAATAAATAAAATAAATAAATTAAGTTATTAAAGTATACTTATAATATTATATTAACCTTTAGTAAGATAACTAGGTTAAGATATTATTAATTACTTAAATATAATATAATAGCTTTATAATAGAAACTATAGGAGTTATACTATTTTATATTAATTATAGGTTTACACTAAAAGCCTATAGATTACCTTGCAATAGCCTAAATGCGGATAATATATATATATTTATAGAAGATATAATTTAATTATAGGAAAAACTTAAAGTTTAACTTAAATTCTTTAGGTAATGTATAAAGGAATATATTAATTAAATAAGGATTAAGGGACTAACCCTTTAGGAGGGAAATATAGTTTACTTACTATAATATTTATGTAATAAAAAATTATTAAATATTAAAATAAATAAGCTAAGTAATAAATTAAATTTTAAAAAGCTTAAACTATTTAAAATTTTAAAGAAAATTAATAAAGTTAATTATAAATTAAACTTACTTAAGAATATAAGATTAAAAATAGCTATTTTTTATATATTACTATTTAAAAAAGTATTAATAAATAAAGAGATAGGTAAATTAATTATAAATAAAATTATTATTTAAAATATTAAGGAATAATATAAAATTAAAAAACTAACTTATATATAAATAAATAAAATAATAAGAAAAAGGGAATACTTTACTAAGTAAAAAGGATATAATAATAATAAAAACTCTTAGGTTTTAGAATAAGAACTTAAGAGGAATGCCTAAATAATCCTATAGGAATTTTATTAATCTTTAAGGGTAAAAATAATAATAGGTTTAGCTTAAAGGTAGATTAATTAATAGTGCTAATAGACTAGGATAGGCTAATAGAGATAGAACTAAGCGCTAATAAAGCGGCCTAATAAGCAGCCTTTGCCTTCTTACGTTTAACCTAATTTAGCTCCTTTAAATTTATTATACCTTACGCAACTACTTGCCTTATTTTTATATACTATATTTTCTTTTACTTATAAAAACACTTAACCTTAGTATTAACATAGTAATACTCTTCCTTAGCCTCTTTAAGTTTATCCTTTAAATAAAAGTAATAAATAGTAATTTACTTTAACTATTTAAAAGATAAACCCTAAATATTATAATATAATTAATTAAGGTAAATATACTTTAAATAATATAAGGAATTATTAGGTAATAATAAATATTTAAAATAGTTTTTTAAAATATAAAATAAATAATACTTATTTATTTTATTAGCACTAGTAATAATAAAATAAAATAATAACTTATAGCTAATAGTCTTTAAATAAACTAACTTAGAAATCTTATTTAGTATAATAAAGGTTAATATAAAGAAACTAAGAAAATACTAGTAAAGGAAATTAAAAATTAACCGCACTTATTAAGTAAAGGATATATTATTTATATTAAAATTAACTAGGTCTTAAGGATAAGACTAATAGGAAGGGAGTATTATATTATAACCTATCTCTTATAGTTACACTAATAGGCCTATTAAGTAAGCAGAATTAAATTAATATAGGACTAATTTACTAATTATAAATAAATTATTAAATTATTTTAATAATTTAATAAGCTAGGAATAGATTATTAAAATCTTAAGATAATCTATAATAGATTATTAAATTTTACTAATAATCTTATTTAGTTAATTAAATATATAAGTTTACTTTTTTACACTTACTTAAATAACTTAAATAGCCAGTTATTAATATAAAATTAAAATTACAATACGCTCTGCACTACTTACTATTTAGTAATATTTATTATTATTATTTATATTATATAAAGATCTCTTAATTACTCCGCTAATATAAACCTAGAACTAAACTCTAGGTTTATCCCTTAGGAATCCCTTATATTACTAACTAACTAGTGTACGGTTCGTCACAATCTCGGCCACTGCCTTTTCCCTTTAACACTAATAATATAAAATATCTTAGTTATAATTTCTTATTTAATTTTAAGTTAAAATTAATATAATTATATTTTCTTAAAGGCAATAACTAACTTTATTAAGAATACTATTTCTTATATATTAAAAGATATTAAAAATAGTATATTATAATAAAAAGCTATATAATAATAAGGAATTCCTTATATAACCTTATAATTATATTTAAATAGCCGCTAGGTAAGATTTAATATATATAAATCTTATTAATGCCTTTTTAAAAATTAAAAATATTATTTTATTTAATAAATTTTAGTTTAAATTAACTTAAGTCTCCCTTTAATATATTATTAAGTTAAAGAATTTACTATAAGGATTATTAAAGCTAAGGGCAATAACTAACCCCTAGGAAAATATTAAATTAAAGGATTTTTAAAATAAAATCTTAAAGTTTAGATTATTAAAGGTAAATTAATTAATTCCTGCTATTTAAATAAAGCTATAATTAATATAATTAAGGATTTTTTTTAATTTTAAAATTTTTTTAATATTAAGAATATCCTAGGGTAATATTATTATAATATAAATAAAACTAAAATCCTAGAAGGCTATAGTAATAATAAGCTAATACTTAGCTATATTAAAAAAAGTAATTATAAAGAAATAATTTAAATTATAATTTTAAACTATAATTCTTAAGTATATTATAGCTATAAGTTAAATTCTTTTATTATTAATTATCTTAAGGGCTTAATAGGTTAATAATAATAATTTCTTTATTAAATTAAATTTCTAGCTAGCTAGGTATTTAAGGTAATTAAAAAAGGCTAGATTAATAATAATATTACTTTATAATAGCCCCTAAGAGATTTTTATTCTTTAAACTTGTTATAGAGTTAGGCTTTGCCTGCCTATAGGCCTTATATAGCTAGTTAAATAGGTTAGTTGGCGACCTATTTAATGCGTATTCTTTTGCATATAACGCAATTAAATAGGGCCCTATTAGGCCCTGAAGGCTATTACGCTGGCTATTGTTTAGCCCTTATAGGGTTAGCCCTTTACAAAACTTAACTTAACTTACTATTAAAATAATTACTTATTATAAATAGCTATAATAGCTATTATATTAATAATTTTATATATAAATACTTTAAAAATAATATTTAATTATTATTCCTATTATTATATATCTCTTATATTCTTTAGCTTTTTAATATTTTAATTTTTTTACTTATTATATTATATTACTATTAAGCTTTATTTAAATTTAAAAATTATAATAATATAATACCCACTAGTAAGAGAATATTTCTTAAATATTATTATAAAGTTAAAATAAAAGGCTTAATAAATTAAAATATAAAAGCAGGCTAGTAAAAATCCAGTTTATAGTCTCTTAATATAGCTAAGCTATTAATAAATTAATTAATTATTCTAAAGCCCTTAAAAATTATAATAATATTAAAAATATGAAAATTAATAGCTAAAAAAAGAAAAAAATTAATTTTATTAAGTTAAATACCCCCTAGCAGTTATAAAATATTAAAAAAGTTATAAATTTAATTAATATTAAGTTATTAAAAACTTAGTTACTATTATAAAAGGTTAAAAAGCAATTAAATTATAAAAATATTATAAAAGTAATAGTAAAGGTTAAGATTTATAATTTATAGTATTAAGTTAATAGTTTTTAATTAAAAAAAAAGTAAAAAATTAAAGAAAATTTAAATAATTGATTTATTAAAATTAAGGAGATTATAAATATAAAAAAGAAAATAAAAAAAGAAAAATAATACACTAAGGCCGCTTATAAGATTAAAGTTATTAAATCTAAAGACCTTTACTATATATTTTAGCTAAAATAAAAGAACATAATAATAAAATTAATTATAATATTATTAAGTTATTATTTTTCCTATCCCTATAATCCTAATTAATTACACTAAGTGGCCGAGAAGTGAGTGTAGCCGAGAAGTGGGTGGTCTAACTTAGTAAGTTTTACTACTATTAAGTATATAATCCATATTCATATAATAGATTAAGATTTTAAGATAAGGCTACTTTGTTCTAATTGCTGGACAGCAGCTAAGTCTCATCAAGTGACGCACTGTGTTTATTTCTGCCCCTGAGCAAATTGCTGGGGACCTTTGTTCTTTTATGTACTCTTTTCTTGAAGGTCAGATACACCACTCTTACAGACGTATACCACCCTAATCAGCACCTCCATGAAGAGGATTGGCAGCTTCACAATGCGCAAGATGTGGTGCCTCCAGAACAGCCTCGTGGAATGCGAATGGTCCTTTCTTCAAAATGTCCCTTAAAACGTTAGAATTATAACTAGTATCGCCAAGGAGACTAGCATACCTATGCGTTGCTAAGCAGGCGATGTATATAAGCAAGAAGGTAATAGAGACACTGCAAAAGCAGGGCTAAATAGCTAAACTTTAGGCTTATCCTTTAGAAATACTAACTATCTGGTGTATGGTTTATTATAGTGCGCCTTTAATAAATTATTATACCGATAGAAATATTACATAAATACTAACACCTATTATAAAATACTGGCTAATTTACTTCCTGGATGTCAGTTTAAATCCTTCCCCATACCTCTCACTAAACCCCGAATATTGATTATCTCTTTGTATTTCGCCTGGCGCTGCCGGGGTTGCTTGTCGCGGCTGCAGTTCTTCGTTGGCGATATTCCGAATGGTAACGGATACCATGTCCCGCGATATCGCCCGCACTGTCTCATTGTCCATGCGCCCACCAATCTGTCTCGACCTCCATCCGAGTCCTCGATTCGTCCCGTGCAGAGTCTTCTCATCGGTGGCAACCATCACCTGCATTGCGTCACCCGTTGCGTGGTTCTCGATAACGCTTGCCTCGTTGTCAAAATAAGTATTTGCTTTGGATAAGATATTAATCGACTCAAAGGTTGCCTCCCATTCATCCCTCAATCTTGCAATATCTGCAGCTTCGTCAGGGGATGTCGTTGAAGCCTTCATCTTTTCCGTCAATCGGCTGAAGAGCAGCTTCTCGTGTGCTCTCAACTTTGTAGCCATACGAGAAAGGCTAGTTTTGCACTCTTCCAGTCCTTCATGTGTGATTTTTTCAGGGATAGAGCCCGTATTGGCACTGCCGCCTGCATTTGGGTTGGGAGTTGTCGCAAACTGGAGCTGGCTAATGTGCATGGACAATTGAGCGCAAATTGCGAGACTCTTTTCCGTGCTTGCTTTCTCTTCCTTGATCTGCATCAGCTCAGATGTGTTTGGCGTAGAGCCCGCAACGCTCTTGTCTAGCATAGCGTCCATTTTCTCATTTATTGTATCGAGACGGTCCTCCAAGTTTTCCCTGGCACTGTCGAGGAGCTCTTTGTAACCCTCTATGGCTTCAGATGTGGCAGCGGATCTGCGGCTGCTCAGGGTCATAAAGTCAGAACTGTCTTATCTGTGGCACATCTAAAAGCACTTACAGGTTGGCGTCGGTGAGGGCAACGCTTATGGTCAGTTTGTAGCTGGCCAGCAGTCTTCTAAATCCATCAATGTCGTCGCCCATATATTTTAGCCTCGCCCAGTCGCGAACGCTCGCTCGAGAGCCTGTAGACCGGGACGAGCATTTCTGTATCTGTTGCTCAAACACTTGGCAAGCTTTGCCGCACTGTCGCAAAGGTAGCTCAAGGGAAGAAAGGTCGATATCAGTAGTATTCTGGACTGTTTCAACCAGCGAAGCCAGTACGCCACTAAGTGCGCTTGCCTCCTCTGCGAGATCTCGCACTCGTTGCTGGTGAGACTGGTAGCTACTGATTGTCTGGTAAAGCGCGATACTGGACTGGAAGGCGAATTGGCCTAGGGCCAGTAGCCCGGAGGCTACTCCGATAGCTTCTGCCATTAAGCCGGCTTACTTTAACACTGTAATGCTTTGCAAAGCATGCGGGGAAACGAGACTCATGTTTTCATCCAGCTCATGGAACTCAGAGGGAATATAAGAACTCGGTAAGAGGGCCTTAGGCAACTGCGCCTCTCTTGCTAAACGCCAGGAATAAGGTTCTCATGTCTTACTGGCAGAGAAAGCGCCCAGCTTAAGCGCCCAAGTTGGGGTGGGTTAGGGTCTTTTAACCCCACAGTACTTGTACTCTAAAGAAATACCTATACTAAACAACAAGCCATAAAGAAACATTAGTAATCGCTAGACTTCGTCCATCTTTGGCTATTAACATTTACCGCATGTAGAGACTTATACCTACGCTTTGCGAGCAGTTCATTTTTTAGCGACGGCATACTGAAGTATATACTACGTTAGGTAGGTAGCTAATTTTGGCTTTGCCAATCAGGACCTCCATGAAGGGGCGTCTTGCACTGGGTTCCAACACGTCTCTCTTGATATTCCACTCTAGCCGTCCTCTGGAAAAGACTGGTGCTGCTGTTGCGTAGGCGAGTATAGACGTTTTTACCATCTGATGGAAAAAGCTGGGCTTCAATGTAGAAAACCTCCTCATCAATGTCATCCGGGATCATTTCATTCGATTCGTCTTCGGATAGCTGAAGTTGGCAAGAGGGATCATCCATGTCGCCTAACAAAGGCATCGAGAAGAAATGCAGAGCTTAATGCGAGTGAACAGAATAGACCGCAGTCTACAGGGAATAGCCTTATAAATAAATACTAATCCTATCCCAAAGTGTGTATATGCGTTTGCTATGTGGCACAATGACTCTGAATGTATCCATCTTGTATCTGTAACCGACCATTCATCATATCTCTACACCAACGTATGCACCCATAAACGCACCATCTGGGTATCTGCAAGAAGAGAGATAGAGGGCAGGTGGGGATAAGGCGCCGTTATTACTAGATAGCAGCTAGGTCTCATCAAAGGACTTGACTCTGGATATCTCTCCCTATCCACAAATAGTTGGAGGCCTTTGTTCCTTTATATATCTTCCCTTTGTAGCAAATCCCCAGGCTCTAACGATTTGCGGCCCCGATTCGCATTATTCGTCATCCAACGCATGCATAAGTTCCGGTGCCTTCTCATTTCCCCAAATGGGCAAAAGAGCTCTCAACAACTCATCGCTCTTATTTCGTATCGAACTCTTACCTCGACAAACCAAAATAGCCGTTTGCGCTTTGCCTCCTAAATAAGTAGCGGCTTAATGGCATCAGCAGCTTGCTGCGGCGTTATAGTTAGAGTATAATAGCCCATATACGAGTACTCTGGTGCACCGGGCGAGTTAACTAAGCGAACGGTATTAGCACGTCGCTTGCAAAAGCCATTATTAAGATTTATCCAAAGTTGCTGCCTAGTCTAAATATAATATAATTAAAAGCGCCCTAGATTTATATAAACTATAAGGGCAAGTATCTAAAATTAAAGATAACATTTTTAAAACTAGTAGCGCAGTTAAGTGTGCAATTATTAGATATGTTATTAACCTCGGACGAAATAGCAATCGCAATTTGCACATGGAGAAAAAGTTAAGAGCTTTTTAGTAAACACAATAGTTGCTGTTATAAGCCAGACACTTAAGGCTGGGTCTTCAAGTGGCTAGGAGTTAAGAGTATCTTAAGTGTATAGAGTTACACTAAGTTTAATATTTTTAAAATGGATAAAGTTTAGTGCTAAGTAATAGAGACATGAAGCTAAGTTTTTAAAATGTTGAGTAATAATGCGATTCTGCAAGTCAGTAGTAATATAACATAGGCCTAATGGGTGGCCATTTAAATACATCTAAAGTCCCTGCTAACTTCCCATCCACCCCTTAAAGGTTATACTATATAACTTAAGCCTAGATGGGTTATAAAGGCTACGCTGGTTTCTAGTTGTGGTTAGCTCTCATAGGTCTATATGCCTTACAGTCTAATACCGTAAAAAAGCATTTAAATATTTTCTCAAAGGATTTATACTCAGCCTTCTTAGATGTAAGTGCGGTTGGAAATAATTAGATTATACTCTAGCCTTTGCGCTTTAGGCTCTAACGGCCTGCCCTTAATTTACTTAATTGCGTTCTATTATAAATTAAAGCCCTCTGCCAAGCAGCTACTATACTTTGATCTTCTATAGAGAATAACTTGTGGCAGTCTTTATAAAGCGTCCTTAATATCGCTAAGATTTTACTTATTTATTAAGCCTTAATAAATAGAAGCACTTTTAAATATTAATAAAAAACATAAGCCCTTATAGCCCTGCCCCCTAAGATATAAATTAATATAATACTAATATAAATTAATATAATACTAATATAAATTAATATAGTACCTTTCTTTTATCTTATATAATATATAGTAAACACAGACTCTAAACCTATAGCTCCTAATATTTTATTACTTAAAAGGGATTTATATAACCAGCTTACTTAGTAAACGCTAATAATAAAATAAAATAAAATAAATAAATAATTCAGCAAAGCGCGTGGTAAGGTGCTGTAATAGAGCAGCTCCCAAGCATACAACATAGTATTATCTATTAAGGGTAAAATGAGTGTCCCTCATTTATCAAGTAAGGAGAATAATGCGTAGCTCATTTTGGACAGAACTATAGCTAGTTATGTGCTCATGATATTCTCACAGATTGATGAGAGCCATTTCTGGACGTTACAATATTACACATCTGTCCACGGACGTTGGGGCGCTACCATCACATGCACATACAGACTGAAGACAGTGAGCGGCCTAATGTTCCTAAAGGCGCGGAACACTTCACACGACATGTACTGCACCTGAGCAATGACACCCATTTAACCTACCTATACATTCATGCATGGCATGTACAGCCAAACCCAGATTCAGCGTCTAGATCACTAATATTAATCATTTCTAAGTTAGGCAAGTGGGGATACTGCACAGTGTGGTACTGTCCAATAGAAAGTCTCGTATTTAACAACAGTTATAATCGGCCGACTTACATAAATTTGCTTGTGTTCAAGGAAGCATGGCCGAGGCAGCCAGGAACATACTGCGGAATTGACTAGAGATGCGGAAGGATTGGGAGGGGCTGCGCACAGCACCCGCAGGGCATACAGCGGCATCTGCATCATATTCTCTCCCCTCACACAAGCGAGACCGAGTTTATGCCAGGCTGCAGTTTAACACGTGGATGTAACGCCAGAGATTCGTCTTTTCGCTACTCTTTTAGGTAGGTAGTTCAGTAGCCAAGTAAGACCTAATTCGCACCTCTAAGAATGAGGGTCGATTCCATGACCAAGTTGCATGCAAGCTCTAGACGAGACGTCACAGCGCTTTGACGGTCAGTCTCACCCCACTTACACCGTCGCTTGTCCTGCTTCGTCCTTTTCTTGCTTGCTCTCTCATTCATCCGTCGTTCACTCCAATAAATTCATTTTTGCAAACATGTCTGAATCTTTGATTGATTTCCGCTCCCTCATCGACTCGTACGACTTTGCTCCTGACGGCAGAGAAAAGTTCAACACCTTGTTCGGCCTCCTGGACAAAGCTATAGGCAACTCCGCCAGCCACACGTCTGACGCCAATGAGGCCGTCGCCAATGGCATCGACGAGATAAGCAACCATGACGAGCCTGAGGGCTTTCTCTGGACATTATGGACGCTGTTTATTGAAATCTCCAAGCGCATCCCGTTGGACGACCCGCGGGTGCAGAGCTTGGTTGAGATTACTCAGAAGCTCAAGGTCAAGAAAAGCGCAACGGTTGAGGTATGGGGATCGAAGTACAGCTTGTGGACCGACATGCCGCTTTTTGGAGCCGTCATGAGAGAGGCGTGGAATGGTGAGCTCAGGCCCAATTCTTTATCTTTTTCTTTTCTCCCAAGAAAAAGAAAAGAAACATTGCTATTCAAAGTAAAAGTAATAATAGTTTCTAGGCACTCCTAATTACGACAACTCCCCTGAAGATGCCACTACAATCGCCCAATGGAAGTCACTCAACTCATTCGCCGCCCGCCTCCTCGGCTCTTCAGTGGAGTCTTGGACGAATTTCGCTCTGTGGGAACTTCGCGACGGGCTGGAAGAGCCGCTGGAGTCTCAGCAGGCCAAGGACACGCACTTGATAGCCGCCTCGGAATGGATCACTCACGCCGGCAAGGTGTTGTACGACGAAGGGCGCAAAGGTGTACCAGTAGACAAAGATGATGAACAATCTCTCAGTACTGGTTCACTATTGGAAGGGGAAGCTTCGGGATTTACTGAAGCGAGATGGAACTTTTGGAAGAAGAAGATTCAAGAGCTGAGTGCTGGAGCGGGCGACGAGGCGAAGAAGAGGGCGGGAAAGGCCTTGGAGGTGGTTAAGAGCCTCGAGGCTTGAAGCCATCTCAAATCGAACAACAAATGTACAACAAGAGATGGGGTAAATTCTTCATTTCGCTTTCTAGATCTTACGCAGCCATAGCATGATAAATCTCCACTTTGCCATCTTTCATACAGCGTGGCCTCCCAAATGAACCCAAAGACTCCTATACGCCAAACCCATCTTACACTGCATCTCGCCCCTCATCACGCATACATCATATCGCCATCCTCCTCTTCGTCGTCTTCCACAATTGGAATCTCCTTCCTCTTGCCCATCTCATCACGACACATGGGACACGTCCCCTTGCTCCTCAACCACGGACCGACGCACTCCAGATCGAAACGGTGCTTTCCCTGACACGGCAGCTCCACGACGAGGCAGTACTCGTCCTCCAAGTACGGGATCTTGCAGATAGCGCAGTCATCCTCCTTGTCGAGCTTCTTCCGGTTCACTCGATCCAGCGAATCGACAAACTCCTGACTCGCGCCCTGTAGCCTCGTCGGCGGGTCGTGAATGTCGTCCTCCAGGGAGGCTATCAGCTGCTCTAGGAAATCGCGATTGCCTTCTGTCGGCGCGGTCGTCTGCAGCGTCTGGAGCTGGCTCTGCAGGAGGCGGAAGAGCGCGGCTGTGTCGACGGGCGTGGGCGTGGCGTGCGGGTTGTGATGCGGGTTTTCGGTGCTGCTTGGCTCGTCGAGCTGGTTGAGGAGAGAGAAGAAGGAGGCCATGTCGACGCGGCGGCCTTGGCGACGGGGCTCGGCGAGTTTTACATTGTGTTCGACTGCGAGTGGGAAGATTATAAGCATCGTGGGAGATGGTGATGGTGTAAAATACTTACGTTCGTACTGAGTGGCCATGATGGGCAGCGGGGGATTAGAGCGCAGAGTATTGATAAACAGCTATTTACAAACAAATCTGCGAGCTCAATTGGTTACAAGATGCTCCTATCAAGAGGCGGATGGGTGTTCCGCAGCATAAAGAGAAACTGAACCAGCGCAGGCAGAGATGCTGTCGCAAGCGCGCAACCGGGATGGAGGGGCACAGCTTTAGCAGTTGGAGGGGCACCAGACCTAGCAGCTGCAACTAATCTCACATGCTAGCAGCGCTTTTATCCGCTATAAATCGAAAGCTGCTTTGCCTATTCCAGGTAGCAATCAGGTCAGCGCCTGGCCATAGCTGCTGCGGACTTGACTTGAGCTCCACCTTTTCGCAGTGCATTCAGACTCAAATCACGTCACCACAGATGCGAGAACTAATAGAGCTACAAACGTCTCCCGGATAAAGTATATAGCAACGCATATGTAAAAGAGTCCGAGCCGGATTACTTTTCTCGGCTCGATGACAGTTGCTACCTGCATTGATTGCAATCACTGCACAAACCTCGGGCGTTTCGGGCCGCAACGGCGTTATTAACTCCATTCCATCTACCTAATCCAACCACCCGAGGTGGACAGTGTCATATAACACCACTCCGCTTCCCTCTTCCGTCGAGCTCACACTTCCTCTTCTCATCCTCTCTTCCAGCTATACTGTCCATCTAGCAGCTTCCATCTTTTCCATCTCGCCTTCTCTTCATCTGTCTGCTCTTATCAATTGCCACCGCAACACCAGGCCACCCATATCTCCAAAGCAAAAGCCAGCTTCAAAACCTCCAATGGCCTCCAACTCCGCCGCCGTCTTTGGCTCGACCGGCCTCGTCGGCTCCTTCATCCTGTCCAACCTCCTCGCCACCGGCCCCTTCAAGCCCGTCACCACCATCGCCCGCCGCGCACCGAAAGCCGAGTCGCCCAACCTCAACTCCATCGTCGACGCCGACTCCAACAAGTGGCCCGCCACGCTCATCGGCCTCCAGCCCGCGCCGCACGTCACCTTCTCCGCCATCGGCACCACGCGCGCGGCCGCCGGCGGCATCGAGAACCAGTGGAAGATTGACCACGACCTCAACGTCGAGGTGGCCCGCGCCGCGAAGCAGGCCGGCGTCAAGACCTTTGTCTTCATCTCCAGCGCCGGCTCCGACGGCCTGCTGGCGTCCACCTCGCCCTACAGCAAGATGAAGAAGGGCGTCGAGACGACCATCAAGGAGCTCGAGTTTGACCAGGGCATCATTGTGCGACCGGGCCTCATCCTGGGCGAGCGCGAGCAGGGCCGCTTCCTGGAGGGTATTGCTACTACGGTGGTTCGTGGCCTAGGATTCATCGGGTTGAAGGACAGCGTTGCGCAAGATGCCGAAGTGATTGCGCGAGCGGCCATCCGGGCTACGCAGCTAGCTGATGAGGGCAAGGCTCCCAGCAAGTTCTGGGTGCTTGGTCAGAGCGACATTATCAAGCTTGGCCGGACGGAGTGGCCGGGCGAGGAGAAGAAGTAGACGTCTTCAGACGTGATGATTGTATGTCTGTCGCATAGGTGACATATATACGGAAATGTTCAATACCCTCTCTGCTCTTTTTTTTTTAATCTTTTATTATCTTTCATACCAATCACCCTTCTCTTTCAATACCCAAGGTCGTGGACCATTGGTGGGGTCATTTCTTCGGTTTCGGAATTGCCAAGCGCCAGCGGATTACGACCACGAACAAGGAGAGCAAGGGAAAACAGAATACTGAATCAGACATGTATAAAGGGAGAGCGCAGTTCAATAATTTGCAAGGAAGCTGAAAATCTCTCCTTCGGTGTAGCTAGTTCATGGCTAAAGTTGTTATATTGGTAAGCAAAAGGCTGGCTTACACGTAGCTTTGAAATTCAAATGATACCTCTTGTTTCCATCTTTTGAAAATCTGTCAACTATGTTAAATCCATCCCGTAGTGAAGAAAAAAGCAACAAACAATCAACAATAAAAGATAAAAAGGGATTGCCATCCAATCTCCATAACAACAGCAAAACATCCGCACATTGAAAAGATTCAGCCCTGCCGGCACAAAGTCCGCCGACCCGCTCCCGGACTTGCCCCGCGACCGAACCCCGAGTGCACCGAGACGCCGCAAGACCTGTAACCACTGCGCAGCTACTAATATAGGCAGTGAAGAAAGCTCGGTGTTGGAGACGAAGAGATCGAAGAACGAAGCGCCTTAGTTTGGTTCTTTTGGCTTCTACAGCACCTGGTGCCCCGCCAATCCCCCGCCGCACGCGATCTTGTTTGGTTGCTCCCGCGCGGCTGATAAGGCACGAAAAACCCAACTAAGGAGCTAGCTCGAGTGGCCTATTTCATGCTAGGTTGCAATTTAACAGTCATACCGAGCTTCAGCTTCATAACGGCGCCTTTTTTCTTTCTTCTCTCTCTTTTCTCTGGCTTTTTTCACTCTTCATTTCATCATTCAGCACATAGACGGGGAACGGGAAAATAGTAATACAAGATTATCAAGAAGGAGGGATCAATCCTTAGACTGGACTTTTCACTTTACGAAAATTACCTCTCATAAACTTGAATTCAACTCACTCAACCTCAAACCTCAACCTCAACTCCAACACTCACCACAATGGCCTCTCGCCCTGAAATCATCGGCCCTGAAGCCGGCCCCGAAAAGCCCTACCCTTACAAGATGGAAGGCAAAGTCATTTCAGGCTTCGGCCGCGGCTCCAAAGAGGTACGTATCCACCAACAAAAATACATTTCATTAATAGCTCTTATGCACACATGTCATGCACACATGAATTCTCACAACATCTCCAGCTTGGCATCCCAACCGCCAACCTCCCCGTCGATGACGCCCTCACCCCCTGGATCGCCAACATCCCCTCCGGCGTCTACTTCGGCTACGCCTCCCTCGCCCTGCCCCCCTCCCACCCAGACAAGCCCTCCTCTGCAGCAGCCGGCGCATTCACAGTCTTCCCCATGGTAATGTCCATCGGCTACAACCCCTTCTACAAAAACACCGTCCGCAGCGCAGAGGTGCACATCCTGCACAAGTTTAGCCGCGACTTTTACGACGCCCACATGCGTCTCCTCATCCTGGGCTTCATCCGCGAGGAAAAGGACTACAAGAGCCTGGAGGCGCTGATTGACGATATCAACTTTGATTGCGAGGTGGCGAAGAAGAGTGTTGCGAGGGAGGCGTGGGGGTGGGATAAGGGCAGTGGGGAGGACGCGGAGTGGTTTGTTAAGCCTTTATAGATTTATTGATGTGCTGAAGCACTGTTTATGATTTGTTTCTTTTTATTTTAAATAACCATTTCTTTGTTCAAAACTATGAAAGAATTACGAGGGTACGGATTTACCAAGGTGTGGAGCGAGATAAGGCTGGGATGGCACAACATAGACAAAATAAGTCAAGAATAAGAGAGAAAAAGCGCCGAAAATATTCTTGGATGAGATAAAATATTCAATAAAAAGCCATAAAGCATTGCACCACTAGCCATGAGAAAAATAAGATAAACAATTCCTCCTCTTTGGCCAGCCGTCATCACACTTATATACTAGACAGATATACGTATGTCCGAGTAGGTATGTTCGTGCATGCATAGTTTGAATGTAAGTTCAAGTTTTTTGAGTGTGTTGTTTTTTGTGTGCATGTTCGCACCCCTGCGGGTATCATCCAAGTTAATTCCCTCTGGTCATTAAGCTCATGTCATGTCAAACCCAAAAAAAAAAGAGAAAAGTAAAACAGCCAGACGAAAAAAAAGAGAGAGAGAAGGCACAACATGCCACGAGACGTCTCGTGCTCCCCTTAAGAATAGAAAGAATCAAAAGCAATATCCTATTTCTAACCCAAAGTCCACCAGTTTTCTTGATAAAAAAAATCAGTATCAGATATGATAGGCATCACACCCAATCCGTCCATGTCCATAGTAAACGTTCAGAACCAAAAAGAATATGAAATGAAAAGCCAAACACCTTTCATGCATAAAGTAACGTATAGTGTGTGCCGATTGAAAGTGAAGCCCAAAGAGGCTTCACACAGCAAGCTGATGAGGTTCCTGGTTAATGTGATAACGGGGTAAAAACTGCAGAGTTATTAGCACGCGGGTAATGTCAAATCCATAAAGGTTCAAAAGGGCAAACTCACGTTGATGATAATCATCATGGGAATATCAAATACATCTCGCTTAATCGTCCAGCAATACGTGCAGTCGATTTTGCCATCCTTCTCGATCCTTGAAATGCCGTGCTCGCTATCAATCATGGTAACCCGGCTGCTCAGAATACCTGTTCTGGGGTGTTTCTGGGGCCCCAGCATCTCCTTTGCTTCCAGCATCTCCTGCGTACGGTATTGAATCAGCCGACCGCTTCGCTGGACCTTGCCTCTGCTATCTTCAAAAGCGAGTTGAGCAAAGTCGCGGTAGAACTCGACCAGACTGTCATCATCCAGCAACTCGCCTAGGAATACAGGCTGAGGGCGCGAGTTGTTATTTTGCTGCATTTGCTGATTCTTAGGGGCAGGTGTGAGTGTGCCAGACGAGCCTAGGCTTTCGCCATCATCGGTACCATCTTCCGAAGATCGCGTATATATGTTGCGGTTGGGCGCTTTGCCTAGCAGAACATCCTTAGGCCATCCAGTCAAAGCTGCAAACTCCTTATTCACGGCCGCTACTTCGCCGGAGCGCCGACATACAATGGTCGGGGCGCAGCAGTGCTGTAAAAAGTCGTCAAACTCAACAAGCGTCCGCTGGAAGCATTTTTCCATGAAGATGAGATCTTCACGGGTCAAGTCCTTGGTACACGAGATGAACGAGGGTCGAATTTCCCCCAACGACTGAGCAATCTTCAACAGCTTACCCAAGGGCAGCCGGTTGCGGATGACGGATATCATGTTGTGGAATCCAGCAACATATGGGTAAGGTTCTTTGACGCTTGCATATATAGACGCCGAGTCCCGTTGTCTTTTCCCGAGAATAGATTGAAGCATCTTGTCTTGCTTCTGTTTGTGACGCTGAGGCCCAGGCATATTAGGCAAACCTGGGAATGCCGTTGGGTTAGGAGAACCGTCCATGATGGCCTGTGGGCTCGCAGTCGTGTCGGTACTTGGGCTGGCCAGGCTGTTTGGCCCTGCCGCGATGGCAAATGCGTGAGGCAGGCCATGCTGGAGATTGCCCTGGGTGTACATGTTGGATCCCACATCGACGCCGCCATAATCACCGCCCATCATGGCAGTATCATACGACCCGTTGCCATTGCCAAACATGGCAGCGTAGTTTGCTTCCGTCTTGGGGGTATGTGAGATGGAATTTTCCCGCGGCGGCGTTTCTGCGCCAAGGGTCATCTTATTAAGAATTCCAAATTCCCATCCAGCATATTGACTGCCAAAATTGAGACCTTCGAGATCAAAATTATATAGTGCGGGGTTGCTAGGATCAAACAGCGCGTTGAAATCCATAGCAGGAGCTCCTGGGAGCATGCCGCTCATGTGTGCTTGCGCTGCGGCGGAAGCACTATGAAATGAGGGCGAGATGGGAGAGGCCTGAGGGTTGAGATGGATGTTTTCGGGAATGGCCACCTGAGGCTGGCTAACGTTTGGATAGACAGAAAATGAGGGGGTTCTCTGTGGTAGATAGCCATCACTTGGGGCCGGCGCAATGACGGTCTCAGAGTGGCCGTTGGTCTTTGTAGACAAGGGAGGGCTGAAGTTTGGACCCAAGACAGGTCGAAGAGCCTCTGGAGGAGCATCGTGAAGGTACTTTGCCTTTTTCCTAACGCCATCCTGGCATGCATCGGCAAGGCCTCTCTTTATGCATCTCTTGCACGGCCGTTCGTCTCCTGTGAAGGATAAAGTCAGCAAAAGGGACCCAAGCTGTTAAGGTTTCAATGGATACCGAATCCAAAAGAGGAAATGAAAAGAGAGAGAACCATGAAATGTCAACGAAACAAGGGATAGGCACGTAATAAACCAGCGCCAATCGTCTAATAGAAGGGGCAGCGCGAGTGAAGGGGTATAAGCAGAAAGACTGTTTCTTCTTAATCATGGAAACAAACGCAAACGCACCGCAAGTTAAATGCGCTCTCTGGCAAGCAAAACACGCTCTCCTGGCCTTCTTCCGCCTGGGCCTCGAAGGGTCCTTGGGGTCGTACTTCTTCTTGTCGTGAGAGGAGCCATTGGCTCCCGCGGGATCGGCCATGCTATCGTCGTCGTCCTTGAGAAAAGTCTCCGAATCTTCTTCGTTCTCGGACACGGGGTCTGAGACGTCTGCTCCGTTGTCCTCCATGTCTTCGGGCATTATGGCTACGGGTCTTTTTATATATAATGACAAGCCCCCTCTTGGCGCTTGCACAGCAGAAAGTGACTATTTGAGTCGGCGCACCTGCAGGCCAATTGCTCTCGCAAATCAGGGCAGCGATCCCAATCCATCCAAACCTATGCGCTGATGAACCACACCACAGAGCGCACGGCTTTCGTAGCACGGGCGAGCAGGGATCAGGATAGTTACACGGCTGTGTCTTTTACGCAGAGAGGCGCAAAAGCAGAATACAAGAAGCGATCCACAGTGGCTTGAAGCTGGTCAGGGTTGCAATTGGGCAAGAGTCCCCTGCCTTGAAGTTATTGGCGCTCGCGCAGCGAATGGAAGCAAGGCAGCGAGCAGAGAGCCCTTGTCGGTAGTATCTGAGTGTAGGTATATGCGCTCGTCTGCGCAGTATCAGGTTTTGTAAGACTGCACTAGCTGGTATCTATGCGCTGACCGGTCGCGGGAGGGAAGATCCGGGGCTGATCGCGTGGGAAGCCGGCAAGGGCCAGCGACGTTCGAGGGGAGCGGCCAGTTCGTATTCTCAAAAGGCGTGGATACAGTCGACAAGGCCAATCGGCGTCGTCAGAGGCTCAGGCGCACAAGAGGCGTCGGTCGTGTGACAGGACGGCAGGTTTCAATAGAGCTGCGGCGCCGGTGGCATGGAGGCCAGTGATTTCTAGCGCGGAAGACCAGCCGGGCAGGATCTCTCTTGTCCTCTTCGGATGCTGGGGGGGTGTGATCGATCGGCCCAGGATTTCGCGGGGGCAGAAGGCGAGGGCCAGCAGAGGTGACGCCGCGTCTGAGGATAGAGACGGGCCAGGCGCAAAGGGAGAGGCGGTTGATTCGCTGCAGCCACTCCAGCCGTCACCCATATATCATGTACACCGTCCGGCGGGTGGACGATCGATGCGCAGGCCAGACGGCAGCCGTGAGGATCGGGACCGAGCACCGGAAGCTGCAATCGAGGTCGAGCAGAGTTGGAGGTCGCAAGGTGAGGTCGCGCAGCAACGAGGCATGCGAGCAGCGCAGCGCAAAGCAGAGCAGTGCAGTGCAGCGGCGGGCTTGGCGGACGTTGGAGCCAGCGACTCCGGCGGCGGCGGCAAAAACTTTTTGAGACGGGGCTCGGCGTGGAGACCCGACGAGCTCGAGCCGGGCTATGCGACCCCTTTCCGCGGCAGGGGAGAGCGAGGCAAGATGCGGCTGCTGCACGGCAGACCGGTGAGAGAAGAAGAGAAGATCAGAAGGCGAGAGCAGCAAAAAGGCGCAAGGGGTGGAGGAGTCAGAGGTTCCGTCAGCCAGATGCTGGGAACGGTGCCTTACCTAGTCGTCGACTTAAGCTCAGCCAGGGCGGCGATGCTCGTGGGATCGATTTCGTAATTGCCAGCACAGTTGAGCGGCAGCGCTGTCTGCTCTGGGCCTTGAGCGCTGAAGGCTGGCTGGAGCCCGCTGGAGCCCGCTGGGGTTGCCGCGCTGGGTGCTAATGGGCTGGACCGCTGGGATCCCCCGTATTGACGCCAGCCATTGCGGGGTTTTCCCCCAAGCCTTGGCCCGAGCTAGGCCGGTGGCGGCGCTTCTGGGGGCTGGGGCTGGGATTTTGGGCAATCAGGGCGACGCTGACTGGCCACGGCCCAAAGGCGACAGATCTGGGTACTTGTACGCGGCACAGCGCTGGCGCCCACATGGCAGCATCAAGTACTCACGGTACTGCAAAGGACGAGACGAACAAGACGCAGAAACAGACAGAATCTCATCAATGCCTCGTTTCTGTTTCAAGTCACTTCCGACGGAGCCTTGGCTGGAACTCGCAACAATAAACCATGCAGCCATCGCGCCGTGTACCAATACTTGCGCTTTAAGTGCCTGCAGACCGAGGACGAATGAGATTCGAGCGACTGCGTGTGTCGCGTGTGCGGCCGTCGAGAGCGTCCATCTCATGGCGGAGGCGATCATGGGTTGCCAAGAGGCCAATTCCAATTCACATCCATGTTCCCTGATCTTTGTTTCTCTTCTGCATCTTTACGATATATTTTGTGCAACTCGTCTGTACCTCTTCACTCCCCGATTAGATTCTCAGCCTCCAGCAACAGCCCCAACAAGAAAATCATCAAGTTCAGTACAATTGGAAAAGCAACTGCTCAGAGTCGCATTGCTACCACCTCTTAGTCCAAATCTAGCGCCAACCACCGCCGGCGTTCGGTAGTGGATGCGGCTAATGAACCCAGGCCAAGCTAGGGGTGTGATTATTTGCAGGGTTTCTGCATGTGTCAATAGGCACTGGAAAACTCTGCCCAACAGAATGCAGGTGAAGATGGCGGAACAAAGGGGGTTTCTGACGTTTGGCTGCTTGAAATATTGGCTCTTACAAGAAGCAAAACTACCTAACCCAAACACAAGCAACCACATGTACCTAGGTTTACATATGAAACGAATTCTCTAGACACAGAGAGAAAAGATTGACATCAACTCCTCCAGCTACTGAGACGCCAAAATTATGACGAAAATTCTCGGAAACGTTCCTCCCCAGTCGATCAGCGATAGCCGAGCTTCCGACTCTAGCCCGCCCCGAGGTCTAGATACATGTACGTAAACTGCTCCAGAATGCTGCCCCATGTTAACGAAACTGTAGAGACTGAGACTGAGAAGGAAGCAAGCAAGCAAGCAAACAATGGCATTATTTCATGCATGCCGAGAAAATCATTTGCATTTCCATTATTAATTGTAAACACCGATGTTAATACGAGTGCTCGAAAGCATGTCCCTACTAGAGGCTGCTTGTGCCTGTCCAGTCCCACTCTTGAGCTCACTTACAAGCAGACCATCACACACTCTCACCCCAACTCATTCATGCTCACACAAACACAAGATCCCCTCCCGCAGGGCAGTCCATGCTCTTTTGACACGCTTGTCTCACATGGCCACCGCATGGCCGCCCACTGGCTCAATCGAGAACGAGCTGCTGCTGCTGCTGCTGCTGCTGCTGCCTTGTATCACACGCATCCAAACAAGTGCTGCTTGTAACACCAAACCCCTCACAAAAATAAACCTCACTGCATATGGTTGGTCCCCTGCCCTGCGTAACTCACACAGAACCCAATGTCTCTATTGGTTCTTTGATTTCAGCTCGCATCCTGCCGTGCCTTGGGCTGTCAAATCAGGGCCCGGCGCGGGAAGCCCAGTGGCCAAACGCCGAATATACTCGTAAAATTGTACCGGTGAGCACTTTCATACAAGGACTCCCTTGGCTGTTTTGTAGGCATCTCATCCTTGTATTTTGTTTCCAACTTGGACGGCTGAGCCGCAAATGCTCCGCGAAGGACCAAAAGGCTGGTGCTCTTCTAAACCAGGGCCTTCCCAGCTTTCCAGCTCTGCGTCTCAGCCGCATCCATCCCTTCTTCTCCATCAACCACGCAAAAACCGGTGACAGAGGTGCATATCTTGGCAAGCCTCGTCCGTCTCTGCATATGCTAGTTTTCTACTGCTGCTACATACCCCTCTCTTCTCTTCCAAATAGATATGTCGGCGTTAACCCGAATGCGCCAGTCTCCTGCGTTTACTCTGCCTGCAGAGACGGCTTCCTGCAGACGCCCGTTGACTCGCATCCCTGCCTCAACAAGTTCGGTGTGATGCATGTTGTAAATCCTTCCATTTTTGGCCTTTCTATTGCATATGCTAGGATATATGTACTTGGATTAATTATCTACCTCATTACAGTCGTATCCGTCACTCTCGCTCATCCCATGCTATCTCCAGCCGAAAGCCTGGTGTATTATCCGACAGTCTATAGTCCCGAAAAGGCATTCCATCATCTTGTCTCTTCTCTCTTGTCTCCTTTATCGCTCTTTCTAATCCCATGCGCCAGCAGAAATTTCCAAAAGATCAATCCCAAGTTACTACTATTAGATATCCTCCAATAAGATTAGGGTGTATCATTCTTGTACACCTCTCACACCTTTTTATCCAAATCCACTCTGAATAGCAATAATGTTGTTTCCCCTCATGACCTTGCATATCGGCTGTTGCTCCTAATCTTCTTGCCGTATTTGAAAAAGATGTACGGGAACGGTATCATGGCCACGGTCAGAAACGCCAGCAGAGACGACGCCCACTGGTCTCCGAGCCTATGGTACATTTGTGCTCCGAAAAGAGGGAACACAGCTGCAGGTCTGAGAGTTAGTCCATGACGCTACAGCCTTGATTTACAAGCACATGGGGTGACAGCTCATCCAATCTTGGCTTACCTGCAAATGAACAGCGCACAAATGTGTTGGCGGCGAGGGCGCTGGCGGCATACGCAGGATACGCGTCGACCTGAAGACATGGCCTGTTAGCAAACTCCTGAATTGGAAAAGTAGTACTACTTCTCAAGCGGAGAAAGACTTACCAAGAACGTGAAAATACCGGAGAAGACAAGCATGTTTCTGTAAATCATCCACAGTCAGCCGCCACAATACGTGCCAATGGAAGCAAAACACAATACTGCTCCAAACAGGAAACGAAACAAAGAAAGCACTCCCGCCAAGGACGGCGTGAGGCAAGGGGGTGTTATATAAAACAACAAAAATGCCACTATTCACACGCCGTGTCACAGTGGCTTTTTAGAAAAACAGAAAGAAAAGCATGCAGCCACCACAGCATGTTACTCACCCTACTCCAAAGATGGCCGACCCAATAATGGGCACAATCCAGTGCACAGAAGGGTACGACGTCCACGCAAACACAAAGATGCCAATCGACACCAAGACAGACCCCAAGATGGCCGGCGGCAGCCGAAACTCGGGCTCGCTGCTGTCCGGCACGCCAGTCTCCTGCGACAGCTTCGCAATCAGCCCGCTGCGGATGCGGTGCCACACCGGGTCCGTCAGCATGCCGATGATCATGCCCAGCCCGAGGCCCAGGAAGGTCAGGCCGACCTGGTACGGCTCGAGGCCGTGGTGGGTGCCAAAGACGATGCCAAAGGCGCCGAAGAAGACATACAGGATGCCCAGCAGGATGGCGCAGAAGATGTCGAGGAAGAGGCACATGGGCTCGAACATGAGCAGCTGGAAGGGCCGCTGCAGGGAGATGAGCACGGCCTTGAAGACGGACTTTTGCACCTTTTCGGTGGGCGCGAGCCAGCGGTTATCGCCCGTCTCCTTGCGGATCTTGCGAGCCTTGTCTCTGAGCAGTATCGTGTCTATAAGTCGTTTCAACAGCTCTCACGTTAACACTGTTCATAATGTGTGATATTCGCCTCTTTGCGATTATCATCTTACAAGCAAAGCAGGGAGAATGAAAGAAGTTGAGGGGGGGCCAGCTTACGGAATGTCTCAGGCACAAGCAACACGATGGCTACCCACATGACGCCCGCCCAGATAATCAGCACATAGTACGTCCACCGCCACGTCGTAAACTGGTTGATGAAGCCGCCCACGATGGGGCCCACGCTGGGCCCGATGAACGGCGCAATGGTGAAGGCCGCCATGGGCAGCTGCAGCTCGTCCTTGGCAAACATGTCGCCCACCGTGCCCCCCGACACGGTCAGAAAGGCGCTGCCCGCCAGGCCGTCGAAGAAGCGTGACACAATCATGGTTGCCACGTTCTTGGCGACCGTCTGGGGAATCAGCCAGATCACGTACATGGTCCAGGAGACCAGGTAGATGGGGCGGCGGCCGAAGAACTCGCTGAGGGGGCCGAGGAACATGGGGCCCAGGGCGATGCCGAGAATAAAGGACGAGAGGCCGAGGATGGATACCTCGCGCGAGTTGTGGAATTCAGCCTCCATCTGCACGTACGTCGACGTGTATATTGAGCTGGCGCATGTTCTGTACAAAGACGCATATGTTAGCCACTCATATCTTACCGCTGGTAAGACAGCCATGCCAGCAGCCAGCGCCACATTTGTGTTCCACCTCAGCTTTTGTCTCTCCTTTGCTCTTCTTCCATCGTTTTTTTCTTTTTTGTCTCTTTATAAGAAAAAGTCATCACTTACACTGTAAGACTTCCCGCCGCAACGATAAATACAATCAGCCACTTGCGCGCCTTGTTGAAGCTCCTTGGATGCCACGGGTCCGCGTCGCCACCGTCCCAGCCAACTTCGTACGGATCCTTCTCCGGCTGCCCTGCCTCCAGGGCCTTTTCGTCGTGATTCTGCTCATGCGACACGCCATAGCCGTTCTGCGATACCGTCCGGCCCACGTGCTTCATCGACTCTCTGTTTGAATGAGTCTGTTGCAGATCCAATCCGGCGTCGTCGTCTCCTTCTGGGGCGGGTGCCTCGCAGGCCTTTTCGCGGTCCGCCATATTGGACCCGAGGGTCGATGCCGTGTCTACGTCTAGTTCCGTCATCGAAGTCTCGAATTGCTGGCGTTGAATTGGGTCGAGAGGAGGGCTGGTTGTGTGAGTTCGGTGAAGTGAAGCAGAGCTCTGTGTTGTTTGTGGGGATTTTTTGGTGAGTCAATGATTGTCAATGCCTAAAGCAAAAAGAGAGAAATTGAGGATTTGCAGTGGATCAAGCAAGCATGATATATAATAAGCTTATAAAAAGGCAAGGTGACGCTGGTGATGGGGATACGCAGGCATTATCAATCAGGAGCTGACGTGACGGTGAAGCAATTATTATCAATTACAGCAAACGGTCCACGATAAGCCTGGCTCCTTACGAGCAGTAGTAGACTTATGACTCGTTAATTGGGATAAAGTCTCGCCCGACGCTCGGTCGGAGAAAAGAAAGAGGAAGAATGACATCTCCTCAACTGCGCATACGGCGTTTTCACAGATCGCTTCCATAGTTTTTTTCTTTTTTTTTTACCAATCACCTCCCGCATATGGCAACCCGGCCAATAATCTTTTTAATCAGCTCCTCTCATCGGTCGGAGAAAAACAAAGGCGAAGGAGCGAGCAGAAAAAAGCAAACGTTAGCAAATACGCCTCTATCAGGCACTCCTGGTTAATTCCCGTAAGCAGACTTATAAAATCCGGGCGGCGCTAAACTCCTTTCCCTGCGACGGCTCGGCGGGAAAAGATACTCTAAACAGTATTAATCTCTCTCTGCCGTATTTTTCTTGCGGGATCAGGGCAATGGTGCTTTTGTTTGTCATCGATACGATACATCCCGTCATATCTCAGCAAAGGAAGTGGACCGTTTATCGGCGGTGCCAGGAACAAGCGTCACTCACTCTTTGGTTCTGCAGTAGTGAACTTGGTGAACTTGAGTTTTCTATTCTCTTCGTTTGCTTGTTTCTCATCTTGTTTCGCTTTCGCTTTCGCCTTCTTTTACTCTAGCGCAAATGCAGAGTTCTGTATGGCCATTAGTAATAGGAGAAGCCAAGCCGCATAGGGCGTGCTATACACTTATAAAAAAAAAAAGAAGCCTTTGACCTCTTATTCTCCAACGGACAATAGTTGCTATATACAGTCGGCGACAGTTCAACGGCGCGAAAGGCCGAGCATCTAAACGTCGCTGGAAGACGGCAGGGCGAGGCAACGGGCACTGCGGGTATTGCGGCCCATCCTCGACTTCGCGCGTATACAGCCAAGAGGATAAGCTCCGTCCCCATTTAATGTTGACGCCGGCAGTGCTTAACGCCTATACACGGGCGGACATAGGCAGGGCTGAGTCAGTTACAGCAGTTCTAGAACTTGGAATATCAACTGCTTGTTAATTTAGCAAATCGGCTACATCAACATAATGATGTTTCTATGTTCCATCAAGAGCTTATATACATAAAAAGCAAATATCATATTCCAGCATCATCAAGTCCTTCCCATCTGCATCATCAGTATCGTCACTCCGATATCGCTATACAAACTCTAACAATCAAAGCCCCATCAACGCCAGCCAACCCTAGGATATCGACAAACAGTTCTATAAGCCAAAACTAACAACAGGGTATACTTCCAAAACCTATTCACAGCTCCATGTCCCCATCCTCCAAAACTCCCCATTCAATAATACTCTGGCAACCCGCTCTTTGAAAAATCAGGCACATCCGTATCACAATTAAAGCTCCTATCCCACGCCTTCTGCGGCAGCACGCCGGCCTGCATTCCGGCCTTGTAGCTCCACTGCGGCGATGTCTCCGTCTGCCACGTCCAGTACCACCAGCCCAGCCCCTTCTCGAAGCTGTACATTTGCGCCTCCGCAAACATCGTAAGAAACTGCTTATACTCGGAGCTCCATTTGCTCGGGTCTGCGTTGGCCTGGTCGCACGAGCACTTGCTGTCCTTGGTCGGACAGTCTGGCGTCAGAATCGCCGTGCTTGCGTTGCCGGTGTTGAGCGTGCCCTCCCAGCGGTTGCCCTGCCCAACGTTTGTGACATACTGCGCGCAGTCCGTGTCTGCCTGCGACCATTCGGCAAACTGCGTAGGCCCGTAGCCTGTGCTCGTGTCCTGGCTCTGCTCGGCTTGCTGCGTCCATCCCTGGCATGCGTACTGGACCTTCTTCTGGTGCGTAAAGTCGATCTGGTTCTGGTTGAAGATCACGTATTGGTGGACATCGAGGACCAGGCCATCGTAGCCCTGCATCTTCCCTTGCCAGTTGTCGAGACCCATGAAGCCGTCACCAAAGATGACCAGCCCGTTGTAACCGTTCTTGCGGACCATTTTGTAGGCTGTCTCCGTCCAGTTGACAACGGTACTAGCCTTGAGAAAGGTCATGCGCGGCTCGTTGGCCAGGCCATAGTGCGTGATGATGTTCTTATATCTGTCTTGAGCGAAGAACTGGGAGAGGCTGTTGTGGATATCAAGCGACCGCTGTGCGTTTAGGTCGCCGTTCGTGCCATTGAGCCAGCCGATCGCGCCCTGCCTGCCGCTGTGGTTCCATCCGTTTTGGCTCCCGGGCAAGCCATGCATGTCCAGATTGACCCGGAGACCATACTTTCTGGCCCATTCGATACCGCGTAGAAGATATCGCCACGAGGTTCGGTAGATGTACTGGTCGCCATCATAGACCTTGACGGCCCAATAAGAAAACGGAATCCGGACGTGGTCCAAGCCAGCATTGGCAATGTCTTGGAACGTGCTCTCAGTGACAAACGTGTTGTAGTGGTTTTCTATTGTGCTCGCAGCCTGGGATCCAAGATGAATGCAGAGCGTCCACTCGTCAACCACCCCAGCGCTTAAAGGGTAGTTGAAGAGGGACGGTGTGATGAAAGGCTCAATGGATAGCCATCCTCCCAAATTCACACCCCTGGCGGGAGTCTTTGAGTAGTTTCCCCACGGCTTGTTCAGAGCGGGCACCTTGTCGTTTGCCTGTGCAGAATCATCCCAGTCTGAGTTGAGGCCCATGATGGGAAGATCTCCAACCATGACATCCGTAAATGTAGTGTTGAAGTCCTCTGTGCTCGCCCAAGTAGTAGGGTCTAGATAGGTGTTTATCCATTTGGCCGGTACGTCGCTGTTGCTTGCTTTAGGACCGGACGAGTCGCTGCTACTTCCAGACTTGTGCTTTGAGCCGACAACCGCTGCCACAATGATGATGATCAGAAGAATAACGGCACAGATGCCGCCGACGATCCCTATAACACGCTGTTAGCGAGCGCTCGATGATGATAAGAATCAAGAGCCGCGCCGGCTTGCCACTTACACTTCTTTCTCTTGGACCATGTCGTCTTTTTCTTCTTCTCTGGTTGGCTGTATAACTCCTCCTTTCTTAGGCTGTCATAACTTCCGTCTCGAGAATGGTTTCCCCAACCTCCAAAGCCAAATCCCCATCCTTTTGACCTCCCCTCCTCCATTACCGCTCCGCTTACAACTCTGGACTTTTTCTTTTGCCGGCCGGGTTTCTGGTATTTCTTTGGTATTATCACGGGCTCGGTCTCTGGATCTGGGCTCGGCGACCTGTCTCTTCCTCTTGTCCGCCGCTGCTCTCGTTCCCGTTCCCGTTGTCTTTCTCGTTCCCATTCCATCTCCCGTTCCCTGTCCCGGTCTCTTTCAGCCTCTCTTTCTCGCCGCCGCTCTCGCTCCCGCCGCTGCTGTCTCTCCAAGCGCTCTCGGGCTCTCTCATCATGCCCTTCCCCGCGCTCTCGGTCCCGTTTTCTCCGCTCTCGGTCGGCATGTTTTTGTTGTCTCACATTGTCCTGGTTTAGTTGCGCCAGCGCATTCGCCGAGAGCGACTGCGATCTGCTGCGTCTGTCGGCTCTTCCTTCATCAGCGCTGCTCGCCCCTCTCCTTGTGCGCGACTCTTTTTTCCGCGGTCGGTCTCTTCTGGACGATTCGCCGCGTGCGCTGCGGTTGCGACTGCGATGCGCACGTGGTATGTCAGTGTCGCTCATCGTGATGTTTTGATCGAGCTACGGCTCGCGAGTTTGCAGGATATGAGAAACATGAATCGTTATGGATTAAGCGCTCTAGGAGAATTAGATAAATAACCAGAAAAACATTTAAACGCTCTACAAGCCACAAAACACCGCCATCTTGACCCGTGTTAACCGATATCCACGTCACTGATTTCTGGTTCGCGGTCAGCTCGCCAAGTTTAGCGGTTTGTTGGCAGGGCAACGGTCCACAAGACGGAGACTCGGCCGGGAGGGCGGCACCAGCCACGGAAGCGGCGCGCCGGAGCGAGGAGCTGCAAAGTTTATAAATAAACATCTGCAGCGTTAATTGAGTGCAGTGGCTGCTTCTAACTCTGAAGAGTAATTCAAAAACGCCATGCGATGACCTTTACGCGTGTGCGCAATACTGGAAGCTAATAATAGCCTTCTGGTGCTGCGATGAATACTGTTGACTGTGTTGACGATGGAGAAGCCCACTATTGCCTTGGCTTTGCAAGGAACAGTCTTGGCAAACCAGAGATACGAGTATCCGCCAAAATAAACAAAACAATCATGCGCTGGCATAGCCACCCAAAGCAAGATAGACTCCCTAACCACAGGCAAGGTTTTTAAGAGACTTTGTTCTCTATCTCTTACGACAAGAATGGACCTACTACTTACCGGGTAGTAGGTACCTAGTATATCAGAACCAACGTTAGGAAGATTTAGTATTGGTCTCGCTTAAGGGTCTTTCTTTAGAGAGGCAGTGGGCATGATATCGCATCTCCTACCATCCGTGAACAGAGGGTAATACTGGAATGGTTAGAGATGAGTCGAAATGTACAAGGATCTTTCAGACAATATATATCTATATCTATGTGCCTAGTCATCTCTGTTCTATACTCTGTATAGAGCGCGTGAAACTTCTACAAGAAACTTCTACTCATAACTCCTCTCACGACGAGAGAATACTGTAGATACTCTCGTCCCTGGAACCACCAGAGAGCAAGTTGTCACTAGAAAACGAGGTTGCGAAATGGTAAGCATGCTTCTTGTAACAAACAACGGGTTCATCTCAGGTATTACTCTCATAATAATTGACCGCCAATATCTGATTTTCCTTCTCTTGCACTGTCGCTCTTCTTTTTTTTGTTCTTCTTTTATCGCTCGTCTGCATCCATGATAGAAAAGTGGACGTATTGTTGCATTCTTAGAAAAGAAGTGACTTTTGGGGGGATCAAAAATGTCCTAGTGTGTGGTCAGGCCACCACTAACTGGCCGCCCCCGCGAAGTGGCCAGCACCTTTGCCTTTCAACACCAAAAACCTTGATATTGCAACTGCGATTCCGCATCCAAAATCTCAGTAATACTTTTTTGTTTAATTTCGATGACTAAATCTTCTGAGAAATCAATTTCTTCTGCGTTAGAAGCCATTCAAAATGGCGTATCGCAACGAAAAGCGGCAAAACTGTGGGGAATTCCCCGATCAACGCTGCAGAAGCGGTTGAACGGTAGCCAGTCAAGGTCCAATGCATATGAGTATCTCCAGCGTCTTTCTAGGCAGCAGGAATCTCATCTAGCTGAATGGATTCTGGTTCAGAGTAACCTAGGGCTCCCTCTAACGCGTCAACAAATCACTGAATTTGCATCAAGGATCGTCAAGGCAGGCGGGAATGACCAACCGCTTGGGAAACGATGGATTGAGGGGTTTTTGCGACGAAATCCTGACATTAGGACCGTCAGAGGGCGCCCTGCTGTTTAAACGGAGCCATGTTTATTACAGTGAAAGATATCTATTAGTTCTAGCATCTACCGTCTGCCAAGGACGTCCACAGGCACTATGTGAAAAGAGAGACGAGACTGGGATACTGAGAATGGCCCAGAAGCAATGGGCTTATGCCCAGGCACGGTACGGAGAAATGCATAAACAAGCAGCCTCGATTGCCATGTTGAACTGCAATTGTCGAATCTGGAGTGTATTGCAGTCACGGGCCGGATCCTTTGAACCAACTCAGTCTTGAGGGCCTGGCGGTCTAGCAGCTGTGGCTTCTTGAAGACATTGAATTACTAGCTGGCTAGGCGTTGAAGGCGCCTGGGAGAGGCTGGACTAACGATTAGATCGCGTTTTGGCGGCTGAGAAAGATGGCGGCGTTGTGTTGCTATTTTCCCCTTCATTTGAATTGCGGCTGGTGTGGCCTCTTTATAGGTCGCCACTTAATTTGCGGTCTGGTCTGAAAATTTGAGAACGCAGCTCATGTTGAAATAGAATGAAGCTCTAAAGAGACGAAAAACGCTGTGAAAAAACTATTTCATGGGTTGCCGCACGTAACTTATGTTGGATAAGAAGTGGTGAAGAGGCGCCATGATGACCAGTTAATCTTGTCTTGCCGCTTATTTAAAACTAGAGGTGGGTTTTCGGGGAATTAAAAATGCTATAAAATGAAACGGATGAGAGAAAAAGTAAGCTTCGGGGGAGATTAAAAGTGCTGTGAACGCCGCCAATTTGATTTGCATAGACGCATGGTTAATTACATGTACGCTGGCTTAGACGGAAGCCTCTGAGGAGACCAAAAATGCTGTGAAGAGGCGTAAGAACAACCTGTCGCGCTAGACAGCCCTCTTGCGCTTTACTGTATTAGATTAGAAGTGAGCCTCTAGAAACGCTGTGCAAACGTCGCGCTTGGCGACACGTAGCTCATTAGTCTGGAGCCTCGGGGAAGAAAAAAAATGCTGTGAAAAAAAATGCGAAGGTAGCCAGCTGCCTGCAGCTGGCTACCTTCGCACTTTTCCACTTCACAGCTAGATTATGTAATACAACTACTCCATACTTTCCCCGTACTCGCCCTGGACCTCGCCGCGACTAGTACTAAGTCACTCTGCCGGCTGCAACCCCGCGACAGGCCGCAGCAAACCGAGCGCCTTTCCATTGTCCGTCTAAACCGACGACGACCGATGATAACTGCTTGGTCCCGGGGCAGCGCAATGCCTTCTGTCCCATATCCCTTCACTCTTCTCTAATTGCCGTGTAGAGCAGCAGAAAGTTCAATGTCCAGGCCGGCCATGAAGCACCAGGCCGTTCGTCACTTGAAGGGAGCGCTGGCGTATCCCCGAGCTCTGCGATCAATGCCTTTGAACCTCGCAAGATGCTATTCTACACACCCGCCGAATGCGAAGCTGAACCTTCCAGTTGACTACGCGACAACTCCCTTGCTGGCTCACACATCCGAGGCCGCGAAGAGGAACAAGGAGATTCCGTCCGATGTCCTCCATGGCGCGACCAAGAAGATGAACCTCTTCCAAGCAATCAACGACGCGTTGAATACCGCCTTAATAGAGGACGATACAGTTTCCGTATTTGGCGAGGATGTTGCCTTTGGCGGTGTCTTTCGATGTACCATGAAGCTGGCAGAAACACACGGAGCCGACAGAGTATTCAACACGCCGTTGACAGAGCAGGGCATCCTGGGCTTTGCCGTTGGCATGGCCGTTGAAGGAATGCGGCCTGTTGCCGAGATCCAATTCGCCGACTACGTCTTCCCTGCCTTTGACCAGATTGTCAATGAGGCGGCGAAGAAGCGATACTACGAGGGTACCAATGGACGAAGCGCTGGAGGTATGACAGTGCGCATGCCCTGCGGAACTGTCGGCCACGGTGGATTGTACCACTCTCAGTCTCCAGAGGCCTTGTTTACTCATGTTCCAGGATTCAGAGTAATCATGCCTCGATCACCTTTACAGGCCAAGGGACTATTATTAGCTGCCATCCGAAGCAACGACCCTTGCATCTTCATGGAACCCAAGATCTTGTACCGAGCAGCAGTAGAAGAGGTCCCCGTAGCGGCCTACGAACTGCCTCTATCGAAAGCAGAAATCCTGAAAGAGGGCAAGGATGTCACAATAATCTCATACGGCCAACCGCTATACAACTGCATGTCAGCAATCAAGCAGATTGAGCAGGATCTAGGTGTCTCAGTCGAGCTGATTGACCTGCGGACCATCTACCCCTGGGACAAGAAGACTGTCTTTGAGAGTGTGCAAAAGACTGGAAGAGTGTTGGTGGTCCACGAGTCCATGGTGAATGCCGGTGTTGGTGCTGAGGTGGCTGCGGCCATCCAGGAGAACCCCGATACCTTTAACAGGCTGGAAGCTCCCGTGGCCCGCGTTGCTGGATGGAGTATCCACAATCCATTGATGTTTGAGAAGTTTCACGTTCCAGATATTGCAAGTGAGTGCTATTCTGAGTATTATTCTTCCTTTATTGAGAGAAAGTCGATTACTAATTGGTTGTTTTCTAGGAATTTATGACAGCATTAAAAAGACCGTGCAGTATTAAAGGAGAGAGGAGCGAGTAGCGTATATTTATGTATGAATTGCCTAGAGATTTCCTTCTAGCATAGTGTGAATAATAGAAATAAAGCCCTAAACGAGTAAATCATTCAAGCACGTTGCGAGTAGATTAAGTTGATTAAACTGCTGTGAGCCATTCCTTGAGCCTTGTGTGTTCCCAGAGACTAACACCTCTTCTCGATGCCCACTATTCCCACGAGGCAGATAGAGCTTTTGCACAGCTTACAAATATCAACATTTGTTCAATTATATCTCCTACACTCGGTTTATTTGTTTCGTTTGCTCACCTACGACTAGAAAAGCAATATTGATAAGATGGTACGTTTCATCCAGTAAACGACTCCGGCGGCGGCCACGTACCCCGCTAGCGACTTGATATGGAGACAGAACTGCCCCTCTGCTTTGGCGCCCCGCCCAAAGCTGCCTCAACTCCTAATAGACCTCCCCTGTATGCGGTGTACGTCAACGCTCCCTGAAGAAAGCGCTGGTTGTTTCCCGAGATCGCTTCAGACCAGATACGAGAGCCCAAAAACACAGCATGTCACACATCGAGACTGTTTCTGCCTTTGTGGAGGGAGCCCCTCCTGGAGAGGTAAAGCTGCGCCTTATCCCCGTCTTTCCACGCGTCATAGCTAACTTCTGATGCTGTTCCACAGCTCGCAGATGTCATTGCTGGTACGAAGCACGCCGATTCTAATTGAGAGAGGCCGATTCCATCGTTAACGCGCGAACCTACAGACATCAAGGCCCTGACCTCCGAGCCCAACATTGTTGCGGAGCTGACGCCGGCGTTTGAGAAGTACAACGAAGAGCAATTTATCACACTGAAGCTGCCGGGAAGCAGCGAGCCGGTACGACCGAGATAAATGGCAAGATATACGTCAAATGGATATAAATGGCTGACTTGCTGGAAAAGGTCTTGATCAGCTCACACAATTCTCTGGGCGGCGGACGATACTACGATGTTGAGAGTTCCTCTAGCTTTGAGGTTGACCATGTGTCCCAGGCATGTTGAAAGACGAACAGCGACATAGAAAGAGGGGCATGGGCTAATTGGGGTTATAGAAAGCCAGTGCGGTGCAGAGCCATGTCCTGGAAGGGCCACAAGCAGACTTGGCGTGAGTTCTCGATGACGAATCGACAGAGCCATGTTTCGAAGTCAGCTAACTGTATCGCAGCAAGTCGACGCTGAAAAGCTTAGGAGCCTATGTCAAGGAGCATTTCCCCAACGCTTCTCTCGGCGTATATCCCATTGAATCCGACTCCAAGCTTGCCATTATCGTTGTTGCAAACAAGTACAGCCCTAACAACTTCTGGTACGAGGACAGCTTCAATGAAATTACAGTTTCTACGCGAAAAAGGTACGGATACTGACAAGTCTCTCGCAGGAATGGCCGATGGAGATCACTATACATCTTCGACCCGAGCTCCGGAAGCCTCGAGGGCTCGATCAAAGTCGACGTGCACTACTACGAAGACGGCAACGTTCGACTGCTCAGCAACAAGCCCACACACGCATCCATCAGCTCTGGTACCGGGGCGGGCATTGCCAAGGAAATTGCATCGACGGAGAAGAAGTACCAAGAAGATCTCAACAAAAGCTTCGTGAGCCTGAGCGAAGGCGCATTCAAGGGCCTGCGACGACAGCTGCCCGTGACGAGACAAAAAATTGAGTGGGACCGCGTGACTGGTTACCGCTTGGGACAGGATATTGGAGGCGGCAGCTCAAAGCGATGATATAGCAGTTTTTTCTAGTGTTTTTTCCAGCCATTTTCCAGGCCATTTAAGAAGACGAGGCTCCAAGATAAAGATGTAGCATTGATTGATTAATAGAGATGCAGGAACGATATGAGCAATGAACTGAGAGTGTCCTTTGCTGGCTGTGTCTGTTTATCGTACCATGCACATGCTGCCATTTGCCCCCTGTGCGTTAACTATGCTAAAAGTGGTGTCACGAGAGGTTGTTCCTTTGCCTTCCGTCTGACTGCATGGAGTGTCCATGGAGTGCGTGTCCTTTGTCATCCATATGGAAATGGAAACTGTTACAGATCTTCCCTGATTGGTAAGGACAAGGCAATGTTAAACCCAGAGTATCATCTTAGACAAAACACTGCGTATTTGGGGGAATGCGGGAGGCAGATTTCTGGGGTAGATGGCGGCTCCATTTCCGAGGTTATCGGAATCAGGAATCGGCATATATAAAACAACTAGATGAAGAATAACTGCAGATCTCTTATCAAAAAATACAGAGGCAATTGCCAAGAACACAGCACCAAAAAAAAAAAAAACACGGCTTGAAAGGAGAGTCGCTAGCCGTGAACAAGTCCCGGAGGCGGGAGAGGGGGAAGTGGGAAAGGCCGGACGCTAAGATGAGCCCACTTGCGACTTTTGGGGTTATGTCTGGGATGGGTGTGAATGGATCAGATTAGACTGGCGAGGCGTTTCTGATTATGTATAGTATTGTTGTCTTATCATGTGCCTCTCTGTGACAATACATAGTAGACCCGAGGTTGAAAATAAGGTTGCAGTGCTTGGACGCCGGAGAGGTCCTTGCTGTAGGGCGGAAGACATGTTAAATTGGAACAGACTTGTCTTGAATGAAGTCATTTCTCGGTATACGTCTGTCTCAGAGAGAGGTCTTTACACTTGTACATTGGCTTGGATAATAGGTTTTGTACCATGTTAATAGATGACATGGTAATAGGGTCGTGTAAGTGAAATTGCACAGAGCACATGCATCCACTGCCAACAGACCCCGTAGTCCTAGCTGCACCCGAATTTTCCAGGACTTGATATCTAAAGGCTGTGGTGTGCCCTCCCACTCACACACACCTCACAGAGAGTCTGATTTTGGTCATAAAAGTGCCGTGTGTGGCTTGTCAAGAGGCTTCGCAGCAATACGCTGATCAATAAAGGAAGCTGGAGTCGCCAGAACTGGTCGCAACGACAATGGAAGTTGACCCGCGCTGAACCGTTGGGCTAGCAGCGAGGAAATCAGTCGACGGCCTCGCACGAGGCGAATCAGAGCAGCCCAGGCGGTAATTTTGGTGCCGCTGATTGGCGACGCCAGACCCCTGCGGACCCAACGGATTTGCTGCTTCCGATGGCGCCAGGCTAGCAGGACCAGAAGGCTAGAGGCTAGCTGGCATTTTGGGAGCGACGCCATGCAAGGCCAATTTGTCGTGGTACCTTTTTCGTACTCGCATCGGCGCTTTTCTTCCTCTTTCTTTTCCCACCGTCCCTTTTTCCATTGACCGACTTTGCTGATTCAAGACTCCTTTGAGGTGCTTTTTTTTCCTTTCCTTCCTTTTCCCTCTTGCACATCAGTTCTTGTTGCACGCGCATTCTTTACTCTTTATCTCTCTCCTAATACCAGAAACCAGAAAAAAAAAGCATTTGCTTCCAATTCGCCCATCATGTCCACCAAGGAGTACACCTACCAGGATGTTGCCGAGCACAACACCAAGAAGGACATCTTCGTCGTGATCCACGACAAGGTCTACAACTGCAGCAAGTTCATCGACGAGCACCCGTACGTTCTGCCTGCCTTTCCCGCCAAAGCATCGACTGCTATACCCCTCCTTTTTTTTTCTTGGACCCCTCAGACAGGAGGGGGGAGATAGGGATGTGAATACTTGAGAAACAACCAATTGCTGACTTTGTGTTTCTTCTTTCTAGTGGTGGCGAGGAGGTTCTACTCGATGTCGCCGGCCAGGATGCCACTGAGGCTTTCGAGGATGTCGGCCACAGCGACGAGGCCCGCGAGACTCTTGAGCAGCTGCTCGTTGGCGAATTGAAGCGCCAGGTACGCGCCACCCAATACTACTCCTATTCGCGACACATGTGACAAAAAAAAATCGCCCACTAACAATTTGCTCTCCAGCCCGGCGACCCTGTCCCCAAAGCCCACACCAACACCTACTCTGCCAACAACGGCTCCACCACCACTGGCGGCGGATTCGGCATCTACAGTGTTGTCGCCATTGGTGGTCTTCTCGGCTATCTCGCCTTCCAGTACTTCCAGGCTCAGTCTGAGGCCCAGGGACAGTCCGCCTAATCGCATTACAACCCTACATATGATATGAATTCAACCCACGTTTACGAGATATAGATTAAGCGGAGGGGAGGTACCAAAAATTGACGATAAATGTACGGGAGCTAGCGCTTCAGTGCATATGCTAAAAGGGGGGACAAGAAATGATACCGCTGGGGAACGAGGAGATAATTTGTGTCATCTTGGTGTTTATTTTCAACCACGCAAATGTCTTACGGAGAAAGGATCTGGGATTTTTTAATAAGCGTGGCAAGTATAGATGGCGCGGTGTCTACTATTTTCAGGCACTAGACAATCAGGAGTCATTGTTACGGGAAATAGATGATGCCTTTTACGGGAAATATACGGGGCTAGATATCTATGATAATCAATTTTCGATTGCCAATGCGCGCACCTTTACCATCGCAGTCACATGGAGATCCTTTAGGCAGATTGGCGAAATGCGGGGGGGAGAGATACCAAGATGAGGCACGTCGACATGCCTCGGGATTGGCATTGGCGTTGGAAATGTACGTCATATGAAGGCGTTGATACTGTAGTGACAAGCCTGCCTTATGCCGAGTACGAGCATCGGACGAAACCCCCTGGTCTCGAGAGTCTGTGCTTGCGTGGCATTTCTCAACACTTTTAGAGGGAAAAACGCCAGGCCGTTTGCGATCTTACTCATACTTTCCAGAAGCACTAGCCACAATGCGCCACACTATGCCGGCTTTCCCTTCAGCCTCGTACCGGAACAACCTTTGCTTTCCAAACCTTGTCCATCAACCATCACACTCCCTCTGTTCTCTTTCTCTCTTCTCTACGATACTGCAGTCGCTGCTTGGGCTCATTTCTGCCACAACACAATGTCGTCGTATCTAGAGAAGCAGTCCTCCGTCTTCAGAGGCAGCCTCGCCTCGGCCGCGTCCAAGATCTCCAACCCGTCCAGCATCAAGGCCGCGACCGCCGCATCGCTCGCTCCGCCATCGCCATCGCCCTCGGCCGCCTCAGACAGCAACACGCCGACGTCAAAGCGGAAACGAGATGTCGCGCCGGACGTGCCGTTTTCGCAGCCGCAGCTGACGGGCTACGGCGCCGAGGTCAAGACGCAGATGACGTTTGCGGTGGACTACCTGAAGAAGAAGGGCGATGCAAAGACCATTACGGACATCATCGACCATCTGAGTCTGAGGAACTACACGGAGGAGCACAAGAAGGAGCTGATGGAAGGGCTGAGGGGACATCCGCGGGTGGAATGGAAGCCCGATCCCAGCCTGAGCGAGCAGACGTGGAAGACGGGCACGTACAAGCACCGGCCCATCATCCCGGGCGTAAGGGACGGCACGTCGCTGCTGGCGCATCTGCAGCGCAAGACGGACGCCTCGGGTGTATCTGTGAAAGATCTCAAGGACGGCTGGCCCGACTGCGAGGATACGCTGGCAAAGCTGGAGCGGGAGCACAGGGTGCTGGTGGTGCGCACCAAAAAGGACAATTTCCCGCGCTACGTCTGGGCCGACGACGCCTCGCTGCACAACTCGGTCGAGCCCGAGTTCCAGGCCATGTGGCGCCGCGTGCAGCTGCCCAGCCTGGACGACATGCACCGCAAGCTGGTGAGCGTGGGACAGAAGCCGACGAGCGACGATCCGCGCAAGGCCGCAGTGACGACGAAGCCGAAGCAGCAGAAGAAGAGGGCCGGCAAGCGTATTGGCAAGGCGACGAACACGCACATGACGCATTTGCTCAACGATTACAGCGGAATGAGGCGGTGATTTCACTTTCGACTTGGCACTGAAAACTGTGGGATGCGGACAGTAGGTGTACATCATGTGTATGGGGGGAAATCAACGAAAAGAACATAATTACGGGGCACACGGCGAAATGCTTTTCTTTCTTTCCCTCATATTCTCTTTGATTTTTGGCCATTTGATTCGCCCGATTACTTTGGAACTGAAAAGGGGGGAAAGGGGGGGACACAAAAAAAGAAGAAGACTGCAGACAATTTGGCTTTTTATATTTGCAAAACGGCTGGCTGGACTGCCGGGCATGGGAGATCATTAGACGACGGAGTTTTTATGGAGTTTTGATTGCGCTGGGCTTCTTTGGTGTTTTCCTGCCTTTTTTTTTTTTAATGTGTCTGCTGTTTTTGCTAATTTTTTAAACGAATAACAAAAGACAAAAGAAACAAACCCGAGTTGGACTCGAAAAACGCCTTTTGAGAATGCATGAGAAGGCGCTGGGAATAATACATACATACAGATTATATACATACCTTTTTTCTTTTGGCTGTTTTACGATAGAGCAATGAATTACAGATTATTCTCTTTTACAAATTCGTTTCACATGTGTATTGGTGTGTTCAACTGAGAGTCTCGATGTTATTGCTACTAGTATATTGAAAACTGCATTCATTTTACTATGGAAACATAGATAATCAAGATAAACGAAAACCCGGACCGCTGCCACCCCATGAAATAGAATACTCCCTGGAACTCCATCCTGCATGTGAATACCTAGCTGTATATATCGCCCTTGAAAATCTCAAAAGCCACCCAAAACCATAGCACCTTGTACAGAAAAGAAAAGGATATCAAGCGGGACATATGTACCAGAAAATACCAGAAAATGCAAGGGAAACAGAAAGAACAAGATTCACAGACCCTCGCCCGCCAGCCGTATCTTCTCAAACAAGCTCTCAAAGACATGGCTCTCCTGATACCCTCCCACCTTGTACCGGTCCTGCACCATGACGCAGGGCACGGCCTCGACGCCAATGACATCCCTCGCCGCCTGGGCCACGGCATCGAGCCTCGTGCCGGCCTCGTCGTCGTCCAGCCCGGCTCGCACCGCCGCCTCGGAAATGCCCGCGGCCACGCCCACGGACACCAGGAAAGCGGCGTCGCTGAGGTCGCGGCCGTCCTCAAAGTGGCCCTGGAACAGCTGCTCGACGACGGCGGACTGGCCCGCGGGACCGAGCTCGCGCAGGGCGACGGCGCTGAGGCGGTGGGCGAGGCGGGTGTTGCCGGTGACGCCGCGGATGGAGAAGGCGATGTCGTGCTTTGCGCCGGCGACTTGGATGCGGGAGAGGAAGTTTGGGTTAAGGGACTCGAGGCGGTCGTAGATGCCGCGCTTTTCGACGCCGTCTGCGAATGGTTAGCATATACTTGAAACTTTTGGTTGTCGCTGTGTCTTATTGGAGGAATGTGGTATTGGGCTAAATGAAATGCATATGCGGGTGTGTGCTGCATTGCATGTGATAGTTGATGTGGCGGAGTTGCGGGATGAGGTCATGATGCCTCATGTTGAATGTGATGTGCATGAGTATGAGTGATACACTGATGCGCATTCGCTCATCTTCAAAAGACAAGATCTGAGTGTAAAAGAGAGAGATCAACATACGCTTGGCCATGGTCGGTGCTATGTAATACGGCCTAAACACGGCCTCGAAGCGCACCTCGGGATGCTCGTCGCGGTAGCGCTGCATCAGCGCCTCCAGGTTGTGCTTCTCGATAAAGCACCACGGGCACAGCAGATCCATGTAAATCTCCAGCCGGATCAGCCCTCCGGCACCGCGGCTCGTGGCCAGGCCCGCCGCCATCTTCTCGCGTCGCAGCGCCGCGGCGGTTGGTTTCCTGCTGGTGGGCGGCAGCGGCTGTCGCTCGTGGTGGTGGTGATGGCGGTGGTTATAGCGGTGTTGGTGATGGTGCCGAGAGTCGTCGGTGATGTGCAGGTGGTGCGTTTGCGGGCGTTGCTGCTGCTGCGGTGGAGGGAGGCCAATGAGTGGTGATGCTGCAGCACTCATTGTAGGACTGACAAGAGAATGAATGACAATTCGTCCAGGAGGAAAATAAGTTTTTTTTTTTGTGTTCGTTGGTTTGAGGTCCCCGGATTTTAGTTCCTCTTTCCGAATCGCTTCCTCGGTAGTGATGCTGCTTGTCAAGCTCGGTAGCGGTAAAACTAATAAGCAATAAAAGACGCCTTCTCTCGCTCTTTTTGGGTATAATAGGTACGCTGTAAAAGGGAAGTAAAAGTAAAAAGAGGAAAAAAGGAGCCAAAAGTACAAAGGAGCGCTGACAAGTAGAAGCGAAAAGAAAAGGAGTGAATTAGAAATCCAACAACTCCTTCGTTCCTTTGGTCCCGCCACTCCTAACAAGTAACGTTATGGGCTTGACGGGTTGATTCTTATACTATTTCCCTCTTTTTGTATGTGTATGCGACACGCTGACACGGCCCGCAAGCCTCGGCTCACCCGCTGAATTCTCGTGGGCAAATCTTTCTTCTTCTTTGGAATTGTGTGAATGCGTATTCCAGAGTCGAAAAATAATAAAAAAGCGAATAACAGAGCAACGGACACAATCCGTCACAAGATTTCAAATAGCCCCAAACTGTGGAAGCGAGGCTCCCTGGCGGGTGGTCCAAAGGATTGGATTCCTAACTAGGATTCCCTAAACAAGGAAATGAGACCAAGCCTAAACAGTAGTACCGGGAGGACGGTGCATTCACTGCTTATACGTTTTTTTGTCCCCCTCGTATAAGGTAGGGCGCGGAGAATATTCCTGGCGTATTCTTTATTTCGGCGAAATAGCCGAAGCGACGCTGTAAACAGGTAGCTTTTCGGCAAATGATGTAAATGGCAGGAGAAAGACAAAAAGGGAGTTCAGAGACAAATTAAACAAAAAGGATGGAAGAGCAGAAAAGAGGAAATGTAAATTAAAAAGAAGAGAGGACGAGGAAAGCGCAACTCGGGCCCCCAGGCCGGGAGGGATTTGGCCGAGCTTTGGGCTCTATTCCAGCTGAATCGCGGCACTAGCCTTGATTTGATTAATTGATTAGAATCTCTCCGCCCAAACAGACGCCTGCGGTGACTGTTTGACAGTACGACTAGGTAGTGTGCGTATTCCTACAAAACAACTACTAGCAGCCCGTCGCAATTTTGTATTTGTACAAGGGCTCCATCTATTTTATTTCAACCTTTGCTTCATCGGCCCTCTCGAATGCCCAGGATAAGCCGGGAAAAGGGGACCAGATTGCCGAATGTCACCTCGGGGCTCGGCGTCACTTTGCTCTAGGCAGCCGTGTAATGCTGATATCCGCGCCAATAAACTAACACGATAGTATAAAGCCTACTTCACCTGTATCGAAGCGACGACGAGAGCAACAGACAGAGAGACGAGAAATGAAAAGGGACGTGAATGTTGCGGAGTTTGGACAGCAGCAAAAGCAAACTACGCTTTCTGAATAGTAATCCTGGATTACTGATCGGATCGCCGCCGTTTTCTGCTTCAGTGCTAGCAATTCCTATTCGCACGAATCAGTGTGTGATACGGCCGAAACGGGCACTAGATGGTCTAGTGGAATCTTTTTGCTTTCTCTGGGCTCGAGTCGTCCTTGATTCGAAAAGTATCTACCTATCTTATGTTGCACTGATAATTGCAATGTTACAGATCGACTTTATAGGTTCCCCGGCCCCGGTGTTTTGACGGGAGGTTCCGCACCCTAGGCATTTCCGTATATTGTAATCATGGTAATCAGAATTACCACAATGGGATACCTGTTTTCAATCTCTTCAGCCAGTATAGAAAAGGTTTGTTACTATTTGATAAGCTTACATAATTTCGGACACTACCTAGGCCTAGTATCGAGTCTACTTCTGCTTACCGTTCTCATCTATTCTTGATCTAAACCTTTTCCCCCCCCTTGCTCAGCTGTTATCGGCCAATGCATGCAGCTAGGCGATGCTACCTGGGCAATGCACATAGTTTGCCAGGGACAGACAAATCAAAATGAAAAAAAAAAAAAAAATTTAAGAATAACAATAGAGAAGGCCGACTGTGGCCCTAGCCTTTAGTATGATCTGGGGGCGGACCTGATAGATGCTCACTCTCATCTTTGTCCAAGGATAGACTGTCACATCGTTTTGATTGCAGATACCTACTTACCACGCAGATATCAGAAGAAATAAGGAACGTAAGTTGATCAAGACGTTGGGCCATTCGCAGTATCTGTGTGCACGCGTTCATAGATTCCTGCGTACCTACCTAGGTATGCAAATTCTCCCAGTTCATAAAAGAAATGCCCAGCATCTTCAACCCGGACTTTTGACGTAACATGGTAGTCTTCCGATTTACGGAAAAATTACCAAACCCTTTCGCTGTTATTGAAAAGGCGCTCTCTCACCAGTAATTCACCCGCGACACTCCCCGATCTCCGCCACTAGCAGAATGGAGTGCACACGAAGTAGTAATCACAATACTTGCCCAAAATGGTTCTTCGGAAGTCGGTACCGAGACTGTCATCTTATCTCACGGACCTAGGTATGTAGGTAGTATTGCGACAGTAAATGATGCCAGTGCCGTTCATGTATGTCATGGAAAAGAAACCTCACGTCTGTGTGCCTTACATGTCCATCTAGGAAAAGTGGCATCATCTGCCTCCATAGAATCGGGGCCCAGGCCGGATGATATTGCCCCTTGAGGAAAATGAAAAAGACCGGATAAAACATACATCACCTTGCAGCAAATAGTACAATGATTACAAAATACCTAGTCCTCGAGATAAATACACTCGAGACAGGATTCTGTATCGATTAGGAAAGCTTCTTATCCACAATGGCGCCCAAATAGTCCCGTCATGGGAAAGCATCTTCTTCTCTTCTCAGTACTACTACTTCTTTGCCCACAATTCTTTTGCCCGGTCGTATTAGATTAAGTTCCTCTGTAACGACTACTAATCAAAAAAAAAAGTCTTAACGGCAAAAGGACGTTTTCATGATCCGTTCACGTTTCCTTCCCTTTCCTTTCCTTTTCTTTTCTTTTCATCTTCTCTGTTCGCCTCCTCTTCTTTTTCGCCCCTTGGTTTATTAATCCATATTCGTTCGGGTCATTCATTCTTCCAAACCCACTCAGGCCTGCGCAGTGTTTGGCTGTTGCATGTCACCACGACAAACTCAAACGTCTAAGGAGCACTTGATCACAAAATATAAAACAGCAAAGTGGCACACACGTCGTCACAATGAATCAATTGCGTATTCGTAAATGTATATCCGTACAATTTCTCGCGAAAGGGTGCGCCTGTGTTATGCGTCCTGGTCTAAATAATGTGCCAACAGCCAAGGAAAAAAAATGCGTGTCATCGAGGAGTGGTTCAGAGCCCTCCCACCGTCTATAGGTTATTCCGTTTCCCAGCCCAGTGCTGAAATGCCGTCCCAAAAAACAGGGGTGGGCGAGCGAGTCGGTGTCCTTTCCTACCCCCCTTTATATAAACTCCAGCCATTCTTCCCTTAACCTCCCTTTGCGTCATGTTAATGAAAACGCTCGGTCCATAATCATCAAGTTTCCGGTCCGCCAGTCTATCGCCCAAGGTCTATATGAGAGAACAAAGAAAAAGGGAAACAAAAAAAAAAAAACCAGAAAGAAGGAAAAAACGAGAAATGCAAAGTGTGACGGAAAATATGGCAAGAGGGTTATGTAGAGCAGACCCATGGCGTAACGCAAAGCTGGCGTCTGCTCTAAAAGGTCAAGGGAAGATAACGAGTCGTACGTGTGTTTGATATCGAGATTAGGGAAGTGAATCTGGGCGATGTGCAAGGGATATGCACCATATTTTCTCGATGGCGATCGAGCTTCGAGATGAATCTTCTTCTGCCCTGGAGCTGACCAAGGACAGCAATAAAAGGACAAAAGATATGACTGTGTCAATGGTCATGAGCGCGAACAACGCCAGACCAAAGGTCATCGTGTCTTCAGTGGTAACGCTGCAACTACATGTGTACCATGCCAGGCTCGGCACTTTGTGGTCGTCGCATCTGTTGCGGTGCACCGTAGTACATCTGGCTCATTGAGGGATTGGGAGGGTAGCCATCAGGGTCGGGATAGACGTAGCTTCCACCGTTATGAGATGGGGAAGACGAATGAGGAGATTGCCAGCCAAGTTGCGACGCCATGTGAGGACTGCCAACCGCGCTTCCAGTGGCACCCGTGTGTTGCTCCAAGCTGGGTTCCAGGGTGGGAGGAGGGCCGTAGCCGGTAGGGTGCGAGGTCGGTCGGATACCGCTGTTGTAGCTGGCGGCCGAGTTGGTCGAAGTCGGGCTGCCCACGCGCAAATGAGGTGGAAGAGTGCCGCCCTGTGTCATGTACTGAGTAAAGTCCGCCTGGTGTCGGCCGAGGCCGTTAGCTCCAGAGAGGTCCATGGCAGGAGACATCATGGCGTGCTGGTTAGGCGATGGTGTCGTCAAGGGAGAGCCTTGATTGGACATGTGGTCGCCGTCGGAGCGAGCCTGACTTCCGTTCTTAACCCTGGAAGCTGCAAGTGCTGCCGCGGTAGCCGCCGCAGCCTCTTCGATAGTCCCGGTGTGCTGGTTCTGATGACGTGTGAGGGTGGTACGCCTCGTAAAGGTCTTTTGACAATCGGCGTAGGGGCACTTGTAAGGACGAGTTCCCGAATGAGTTCTTCGGTGTCGAGCCAGGGAGCTGCTGTCACTGAATAGCTACAATTGCAAATTAGTTTTCTCGCTCCTTAGACACAGTTCATCAGCTGGATAGCTTACCTTGGCGCAAGTCTCACAACGATGCGGCTTCTCGCCAGTGTGCACTCTTTGGTGAACAGTAAGAGCAGATCTTTGGATGAATCCCTTGTGACATTTGGGATAGTCGCAAACGTGAGGTCTGACTCCGGTGTGAATACGCTCTATGAACATGCTTTTGTTAGAAAAAAATAGGCTCCGTACGCTCTCATTGCAATCCTGGCTAGACTTACCATGGCGCGCCAGGTCGCTTCTTCTGGCAAACCCTTTACCGCAGGTAC